ATCGTATCCAAGGGCCGACAGAACACTGCCGTCATTAACATTTCACTCGGCTCTTCCGCTTCAACACTATGGGACGCTGCCGTCACCGCAGCCTGGGAGAAAGGCGTCCTTGCCGTCAACGCAGCAGGAAACGAGAACAGTCCAGCCGAAAACTCTTCCCCATGCCGCTCTCCCGAAGTCATCTGCGTCGGAAACGCCGAGATTGATTTCAGCCGACACTCTGGTCCTGGAGGCTCCAACTACGGCCCCGAGGTCGATATCTTCGCTGTGGGAACAAACATCGTCTCTGCATCTTGGCGCAGCGACACAGCGGAATGGAGCACAACGGGTACCTCCATGGCCTCCCCTGCTGTAGCTGGCCTAGTCTCGTACCTCCGTGCTCTCGAGGGGCCCAGCACTGCTGCTGAGGTCAAGGCGAGGGTATACGAGTTGGCCACGCCAGGTGTCGTGACTGACACCCTGGGCTCGGTGAACCTGATGGCCTTCAACGGCAACCCTAGTGCGCGCATCGCTAGCAGCTCTAGCAATGCTACGAATACCACCGTCGAGGCACGTGGAGCTTGGAAGCTATGGTAGACGACAACAACGAGATTAGAAGTTAATCGAGCAGAATGAATCTAATGTATTCTTCTAAGCCTGACCATCGATTGCAAGATGCATTGAACTAATATGGTAAAAGTAATCCGCCCCTCATCTCTGTCAACTTGCTCCTGATGTACAAACACGATGATGAGTTACAATTGATTTGGAGTCTATCATCGAAGAACGAACTGTGCTTACGTAGCTAGACCATCCTCTGAGATCACACGATCCCACACTTCGATCAGGCTATCCAAAATTGACGTATGTGGATGCTTGCTGGTACTTCTCAATTCATCCAGAATCCCAAGCACTTCGGATTGCGCCTCGGTATCTTCAACACAAAGGGCGGCTATATCTCGTTACTTCGATTGGTGCCAAGACAAAAGACGTAGCTTACCTGCATGAACTGCTTGGAACGAAACAAAGGCATTCGGCAGATTTCGTGTTTGCTGGGCGACTGCGATACCACATATTGCGGAAGTACTCTCTCGTAGTAATTTAGACCGAGCCCGGTATGTATTCAGTCCCCCCATCGATGGTTGTGTCAACACCGTAAGAATCCTAGCGAAATGGTATAGCTGCATAGCAGCAGCGTTCGCGGGTGGATGGATCCAAATGGGGAGAATGCGATCCTTGTCTACTGGCGATCCCTGTGCCGATTCTGCAGAGGCGATAATGGGTACAGGCTGGAACGAAAACGGCAGGATTCGTTTCCAAGCATCGAGCATTCTCATCAGCGTCTCTCCCGCCTCTATATATCCGACGATATTGCTTTTCTTCGGCGTTGCAGCATATTGCACACATTTCGCAGTCAAATAGATAATTCTTTGGTGTAACGCGTCCGGCGAGAGCGAAGCTAAAGGGGTGTTCGGTTGGTGAAGTGTAAGTGTAGGACGTCCTGTGCAAAATGCTGCCCAAATGTCTTGTCGAAGCCATGCACACCACACTGCACGCTGAAGACCATTCGAGGACTCTCCACTAACGCCAGAGTCCCGCTGTATCCAAAAAGCCCTTCGAAGATGGCGATCCCAATTGCTGTAGTCCGACTTCGAATCGAACATGCCATAGGTGGATACCATAACCGCGGTCGCCAAAATCTCGTCAGATTGTCTGTAATCCGCATGCTCGATGTTTTGCGAAAGGTAGCGCAATGTCTCGTGATAGTAGTGGCTGGCAGCTCTGGTTGTCCTTGACGGCCCACAGGAGTTGGATGTTGGGCTGATAGGCACCTGCTCGGGACCTGCTTCCCCGACAGGTTCACATGGCTTCCAAAGAGCCAAGTGACATGCCCCAACCGCGAGCAAGGAGTTCAAGAGTCCTTCGTTGGAGAACGCAAGATCAGGCACCACCTTGGCGAAGTGTGCAAGAGGGTCGAACAGATCTAGGATAGGTGCAACAAAATCGATGTAATGCGTGAAAAATTGCAATTCTTCCTGTTTCAATTCGATCCTCTCACGACCATTTCAAGGCCGGCCCGAAGGGGTAGGCCTGTCATGTATGTGACTATCCGCATCATCATGAAGACTCAGACAGGGATATCCAGAAACGGGAGGTTGTGGTATTTGTCTTGTAGAGAGGCTTTCGGAGTCGTATTTCCAATGCGCTGTGTGCTTGTTTTCGTCCAGCTTATCGATAGCGTCTTTTGCTAGAAGATCGTACCATTCGGTAATGTCGAAGTTCGGAAGGGAAACATTCTCGAAACTAAAAAGACTATTGTCAAGAAACAAGTTGTCAATCGATAGACCATGATCGCTGGTTTCTTGGCAATCAACCAGTTGGGGCTCATCCTCCGGAGTTGGTATGCCACTATAGTTGAGAACACCAAGATCTCCCTGGTCGTAGGCTGGTGATGGGGAAAACTCTGATATCGTTCGAGGACGGATGATAGCACAAGTATTAGATCTCTGTAACCTGGAAGCCGCATTGCGCTTCTCCACGAACTTGCACTGACGGTTTACTCGGATGCAATTCTGGCAGATGGGGCGAGTCTCATCGCATTTGACGCGCCTCTTACGACACGTTGAGCTGCAGCCGTTCAGAATCTTGCGAATAAGTGAACTAAATATAGAGATTTTGGGGAGACAATTTGTGACCTGCACTTGTGTTGAAGTACAAGCAGACCCATCTCTCGCATCGACGTGTAGAGTGTGAAGGACTTACCAGCCTGTCGAAGTTCTCAAACCTCGCGATACTGATGGCATTGCTTCTATGTTGGAGAAGTGTTGATTGTTACTGCAGGTAGCAGCTCGATACGATCTGTTCAGACGTAGCTTGAAATAGCCAAAGCGTCCATCGTAGCGGTCTCTTGTGTGCATGTGGAGTTGCCACCCATGAGGGGTTCCCCGCAAAGCTTGCCTACGTCGGACGCCACTATCAGTCATCCCATTTTGCAATACATTCCTCTTCGTGCGATCGTATTGGTAAGTTCACCAGAATATGGAGAGCGTTAGCGCTCTAAGGTTCTGTGGCCCGCACAAGTCGGCCGACGCTAGGTCTTTTCCCCGTGTCTGCCATGTTCCGGCTGCAACCGACTGCCGTGTGTGCGGGATCATCACTTGGGCACTATTTCACAAGGATGAATCCAAGGAGCTGGAAAAGAACACCGTCCGTATTCTGGCCCGGCAAGTGTGTTCTTGAAACCGTACAAAAGAGACTAAGTTGCGCCTACAACGAGCTGTTGTAATCAATGTTGTGGAGATCTGCTATAACACATAGCAAAGTCATACCCTACGTGCGCGACTGAGCATGACCTAACGAAACAAGTCCTCAAGTAGTACTGTATCATGCACGCAGAAGAAACTTAAGTAAAGTCATGACGCGCTGCTCAATCGATAACTAATTCGTCTATCGTCTGCATTGCTTCTGGTTGGTGATCACAAGCCATCTGGTCTTGTCCACTACATGGATGGCGCCCCACTCTACCTAGGTAGTTTTGCATCTAGACCTGGAACAAAAAGACACAGTTCGCCAGAGTCACGAAAGGATACGGAGAAGTTGTGAACATTATGATGAAACACTATAACTGAGAAACGAACCCAGTGCCGGTACTTTCTGTGATACCTCCATCTACAACAAGCTCGTGCGAGGTCACATAACGGCTTGCAGCACTGTTCAGCCATGCGACCGCATTCGCAACATCCATCCCCGTTCCCATCCATCCCATTGGACAGTTATGATCTAGTATTCTTCTAGCAGCTTCCTGGTCTCCTTCGTCCTTGCTTTTGGCGAAATTGTCAACCAAAGGAGTGTACATAAGGCCTGGGACTACGCAATTACACCTGATGTTGTCCTTGCCATACATGACGCCCAAAGCCTTCGTGAACCTTATAACACCAGCTTTTGCAGATGCGTATGCGATTTGGTGTTTTCCAATGTAGCGCAGCGCAGTGATACTAGCATTGTTGACAATATTGCCTGAGCCTTGTTTCTGCATGATAGGAAGGACATGGTGACACAGCCGGTATACGGATGTCAAATTGACGTCGATCTGGCGTGTCCATATAGTTTCTGACATGGTGGCCGGGTTACCGGAGGTCGTCTGGCCAACGTTGTTGATGAGGATATCGATTCTGTTGTGTCGTGCCATTACGGCTGCAACTAATGCTTCGACATCCGATGATTTCGTAACATCAGCTGCAACAACATCGACGACCGCATCTCCAGTTTCTTCGAGAAGGCGTTCCTTAGTTCTTTCCGCGGCGTCTTTGTTCAAATCGCAACCGAAGATGCTCACGCCGTTGCGAGAAAGTAGGCGTGCGACGGCGGCGCCGTTACCCCAAAATGGGCTATCTCGGGGTCCCACTTGTCCGATACCTGTAATGAGAGCGACTTTGCCCTTGAGGTCAGAGTAGATCGGAAATACCTCGGGTACTGGTGGTGCTGTGAGGGACATGGTAGACGATATGAAGTCTGACACAATAGGTGCGCGATGGGTACCTGAGTCGCAGAAATAGTTGTTCGTTCGAATGTTGGGATTGCTTACAGCGTAGGCTTAAATAACATACTACTATCATTCTCCATGTGCGGGAGAGATCTGACCTCCCTTCACATCTGCGCAATCGAGCAATACTCGCATCGAGACTAGCGAGTGCGGAGTAAATGTCAATGAGTAACGAATTGCGGAGTGGATGGTGTTAGCGCCGGTCGAGTCGGCCGTCATCGCGGTCAAACGCCGGAGCTGATTTTCCCCGCCGGGTCGGCGATTGAATTAGCTGCGTTAGTACCAAGACGATATCGATATATACGCTTTCCTTCATGCATCTATTGGAGATCTGAACAAGCTGATGATAAGAGTTTCGACCCGTTCGCGACCACATATTCACTCAGTTCTTGTGTTCAATGCATTGCAGAACCGCAGATTATACTTTCTAAATCACGAAGACGAGACACGGCGTAGGTCTCTAAGACTACATCGAACGATGCGTACCGCAAGATACCCATTGTCGCCCCCGGGCCTTGAAGAGCTCGCCAAGGTTCTCGAAGCGCCTTTGGCTGCCAACTATGAGCATATAGCCATCAGCGTCGTTGAGTGTCCCGATCTTCGCGCAGCACCATTCAACCTGGCAACAACGGGCCTGTCGGGTAACGAGAAGATCTCGGACGTTGGAGGCCAGTCAAATCTTTTTCCCAGCCCTCGACTCGACACCATATGGAGCATGAAGGAGCTTGCACAGGCGATGGAGATGGATCCCGACAAGGGCAGCATTATTGGGGCCGGAGCTGGACCTTTCCATCAGGTCGGTCGCAACTGCGAGCTCGCTCCTAACTTCAGTTGGGGCAAAGATTTCGGCGATGTCGACAACCGAACACACATCGCTAAGATCGACAAGGACACCGGAGCGCCCAGAGTAGAAAAGAGCCCTACCTTGGACTGCGCATTGATGATTAACCTCTTCGGCTCTGAAGGCAAGACTGGGCCGGTACTGAAGATTACCGCTCGTAAACGAAAGGGGCCAGAAAGCAGTTTTACGCAGTGTATACGGAAGGGTCTCAGAACGGCTTACGGCGATAAGCAGACGGTCAGTCTAGGTGGAGCATTCATCGTAAAGTCAGGACGCACGAACTACCACATCATGCCGGACTTCCCCCCGGCATCGGAGCTCCCGTTCAAGGACCCCAAGCAACTCAACGACTGGCTGACATACCACGACTTCGATAGTCCTATGGTGTGTTTGTCGGTCCTGCATTCAGCGGATCCAGAACAGGCAATGGGTTTACGACTCGAGCATACACACTGCTTTTCTCCAAAGGGCAACAACTCTGGAGGTCACTACCACCACGACATTGAAGGATTGCAAGAGGAGATTGAGTATGAAGGTTATTTCAACACGGCAAAGATGATATATAGAATGGAAAGGCCTTCAGTGACTCTAGCGCGAGATCTTCACGACTAGAAAACTTGCTCATTCATGTTCAGAAGCTGTATTCTCGTAGAAAGACTTGGACTACGCTTAGGTAATTTTGTGCGATAAGTCAGTAATATAGAACTTCTACAACCCCAATCAACTGTTCTCGACACACAGATCATGTGTCGCTGTGAAGACTCAGAAATGAATTAGTATGCGCTTGATGCGAAGAATCATAATGATGTGCCGCAAAAGTCGCCCCATGCATCCGCGACTCGTTGAACCGAAGCAACAGGAAAGACGGCCAGAAGGCATGTGAAGACTACACTTGTCACAACTACTCGGAATCCTATCTTGCTCAACTCCAACGACCATTACGACTTTGTTGACCGCAATATCAAAGCAAACCTCTAGCGGCAGGCGTAGAGACTTGCTCAAGTTCCAGAAAAAAAAACGATGCCTATCTTTCTCTAGAGACTCCCTACAGGCAGTACGATATGTAATCGATGTACGAAACAACCTGGGGTACGTCTTCGCTCCTCCCAACGGCCATGGCTTCTTGGCGAGCTGAGGACTCATCGGCCTTTTCAATCGATCCATTCGCCCGGCTCCACCTATTCTTTCTTGCCTGAAAACAAATGTGTTTTTCTGAAACTCCCTCAGCAGAGCTTAGATGGTGCACGGTCTTGGCTTACCTTCGTACGACAATGACCTCCGTGGTCAACACTTGCTAGTGCATTGGCTAGCTAATGAGGGAAGAGTGGAAATAACAGTCTTTGAGCTCCTAGATACCTCGTCTCGAGCGTGAGTTTCAAGGATGTGCTGATCTCGAACACTGGGAAGGGCGTTTTTAGATCATCGGCCAACCGGTACCGTCATCGGCCGAAAAGTCCGGATGTGAATGCCGCCACCGCTGTCGCTAGATTTGGGACTACGGGGTGTGTGGAATGCGGGGTCCCCACGAAATTGGTCCTTCTCCACTCAAAGGAGAACGAGTGGTATAAACTTGCCTTTATCTGTTTGTGGACCAGCACCTCTATTCACCAAGATTTCACTCTCTCGAGATCGTTCTGAGATCTGCTACGCAACATCAATTTCATCATCTGGAAGCATCATGTCTGATCGAAATTCTGTAGACTTGAAGCTTCACGAAAGCAGGATCGAAGACTACGAAGGCTCCAAGGAAGCAGCGTCCAAGGAAACAATGCACGGGAACGGCTATGAAGAGAATACAGCAGCAGAACGCAAGCTCGTCCACAAGATCGACCTGTTTCTGCTCCCATGTATCTGGGTTGTCTACCTACTCTCCTATATGGTAAGTATAATTTGTTCCCCATCTGAGCGATAACTGAACGTGGTCAAGGATCGATCGAATCTCGCAAACGCTCGAGTCGCGGGTATGGGCACCGACCTAGAGATTAATGATCGCCGTTACTATCTCTGCGTTGTTGCATTCCAGATCGGCTACGTTATCGCAGAGATTCCTTGCAACATGATCTTGTCGAGATCACGACCATCGATCTTCATACCAGTCATTATGGTCTTGTGGGGATCTGTTTGCGCAATCATGGCTTGTGCTCAGACCTGGCAACAGCTTGTCGGTCTCCGATTCCTCCTGGGTGTTGCCGAGGCCGGGTTTAGTGTAAGTAACGACGGTGAAATTACTTAGCTCGTCCCGTTTCTAACATCATTCTAGCCTGCAGTAATGTTCATTGTGTCTAGTTGGTACCGCAGAGGGGAACAGTCGAAACGTTTTCTCGCCTTCCACAGTGCAGGAATTTTCTCTGGAGCTGTAGGAAGCATCCTCGCTGGCTCAATTACTGGAGGCCTAGATGGTTCTCGTGGCATCGAGGGCTGGCGTTGGTTGTATATCGTCGAAGGGGTCATCACTGTCGCGGCAGCATTCCCTGTACCATTTATCCTACTCGACTACCCCCTCACCTCGAAACGACTCTCTACGGAAGAACGGACACTCGCCTACGACCGACTTGCCGCAGACGGTATCACCAGCCGGAACGACGACGAATTCACGATCAGTCACAAACAAGCATTACAAATGGCATTTTCCAATTGGAGGTTATATCCTTTGATGAGCGGATACATGATCATCATCGGGAATATGACACTGTCGAATTTCTACCCTACATTCGTCATGTCTTTTGGTTACGACAGAGAAGACGCTCAGTTAGTCTCCGACCCCAGATGACCGAATTGAGACGCTGACATGTGAACCCAGATACATGACAGCACCGCTATATGGTGTAGCACTCGTCGTGGCTGTAATTGCCTGCGTCATTGCCGACAAAGTTCCAAGATGGCGCGCAATATTCACCATGGCAGTCCTTCTGATCTTCGGTACCGTGTTTTGTGCACTCGCGTCGGTCATTACAGCATCTATTCCTCGATATATCTTCCTCTGCTTCATAAACACTGCAATTTGGTGCGGAAACCCACTAGCGCTCTCATATACCAGTACAGTTCTGGGACTAGCTCAGCCAGAGGTGAGAGCCATTTCCCTAGCCAGTATCAACGGAGCCGCCAATCTCGCCCAGCTTTACGCTACAGAGATCATCACAGTATCCAAACCACCTCTGGCTATTATGGGATTCCAAGTATTTTCTGGACTCTTCGCAATCGGCGCTCTGATCTATCTCGCATGCTTCTTCATATATCAGAAATGGCCCTACAAATCCACGCAGACGGCTTGAATGACTGGAAATGATAGTCTCCGAGGTAAAATCACAGAGCACCTGACATCGTACAAGGGGGGGTGATAGGATTCCAGATAGCTCTTAAAGTAATTTGAACTTCTCTATTGACAATTTTTGAGATCTATTACTCGCTTCACTTATCATGGTACTCGTCCTTTCTCGTCCGAGAAAATCTTGCTCTGCTTTTCATGATGCACCCATACCTTGTATACTGTTTCGACTTCGAAAAGGATATCGAAAAAACACGTTCGCAGGCACTTTTCCCGACGATATCTTGATGAGATACAAACGGTACCCCCACCATATAGCTGACTAACCACCTCAAGCTGCGTCATATCTTCCGTGCCGATATCACAGTCTTGTCTAATACGACTACATATTCACATAGGAAAATAGATCAAAGGTGTCGAGCATAAAGATCGAATCCGCTGTACTTAGCGTCGAGGCGTTATCTCCCAAAGCACCCGTACGTCCCGGAAGCATTGAAACATCCTGATTGGGATCAGAAAGCACCTTCATGTATCCTTCCAAGCCATTAGCCAGATGGTATACAAGGTGTTGACTGGAAGCATTCTGTGCACGAAGTGCGCGTACACAGTCGTTCACCTGGGATAGTACGGTTGGGGCATTCACCGCTGTGGAATCCGGGAAACCGATCTTAGCTGCCTTGATAAGGAACACAGCCGCGAAATTGATCATGGCATGGTAGTATATGGGCATACCGACAAGCGCTGATCGTAAATCGTCACGTTCAACGGCTAAGCTCAGCACGGCTCCGGCAGACGTGACTGCGGTTCTCCCAAATTCCTGCACCTCGACAGATGCGCTGGGCAAGGATCCTAAAGACAAGCCTCGGAAGATGTAGGAGCAGAGGTGTAGCCGGGCGAAATGGTAATTCAAGATGGCACCATCTCTCGGGAACCAGCCAACGTAAGCATTTCGTGCTAACTAATTAGTGCATGTTCGATACTTTGGCAGGATGTTGCACATACGCATTCTGTTGCCCCAGATCATGTACCATCGATCTAATTCGGCGAAGTACCCACGAAGCTGGGGTAGACTGTGATTCGGTACACCCTGTGACGGATCTCCGCCAAAGACATCTCTGACCTTTGACGTAATGTGATAGAGCGCAATCTGACTTGACATTCTCAAATCTACTTCTTGGTTCTCGTTGATTCGGATGAAGGCTTCCCATTGTTGATGCGGCTCTTCAGAAGCGGAGATCAAAGCAGGTCGACCATTGAAGATGCTTGACTGATGGTCGTGGATGTATAGGATATACCAAAGACGTGCTTTTATAATGTCTTCTTGCTCTGCGCCGCCCTTCATGACCGCGTAGTAGGCCAAGTGGTAATTGAGTCTCATGGCCAAGCGGATAGCATGCCCAAGCAACGTGTATGATATATCAGCTAACCAGTAAGCGCCAATTATAAGCGCTCTGATAGTGTCGGAAGATTGTGACACGACGAACATGCTTCCCATAACTAATCTTTGATACTCTGCATGACATATCTTAAATACTGAAGAGCCATCGGGATCATGGAGTGCAGCTACTGCACATACGGCAGCGGTAAGCATTGGAGAGTTAGCTCGAAGGTCTCTGAGAATACTGTAAGGGCACATGAGACCGTAGCAGAAGTAATCGAGACGGATGAATCTGGTGAATAAACTCTTGGCGACGGCTTCTGAGATTAAGCCTCGTGTTATGAAATCGTGACTCTGATGGTTTCGCGGAGTAGACGGCGACGCATGTCCGGCCCCGAGAGTGGGCAGTCTCGTTACCTCGTAAAGAGAATTGATGGGTAGACTGTAAATAGAATCATCGACAGGGGCGACAGGTCTCAGAATGGGCGCCGGAGGTAACGTGTCCTCCTCTTCTGATCCATGCCCGCTCTTTTCATGTTCCAGTCCGGGCTCTACGCCAGCCAGGGTTTGAGCATATGAGTTCAGTGCTGGCAGATTAGACATGCGCAGTAAGACATCTACGGCAGTCTGCAACTGCTGCACACGACCAGAAACATCGTTACGCCATCTTCTGGTTTGTTGGTACGAGATTTGTAAACGCCAGGTGGGTGTGCTTGCCTATCAGTTTGCTCAAGCATGATTGCTTGCGGGTGTTTCTCTACACGACATTCCAAACCACGGTTGCGACAGCGCCGACATGGGCCTGCTGTATCTGGCATGACGCATTTGATCTATTCTCAAATCTTAGTCTCATATACTGTAAGTGGATCTATTCATAAGCGCATCAGCAAAAGCTCACCTTGAGATGCCTGCACGTAATGCAAGCCTTAGTTTGTCGTCCCATTGCTGGTCTTGGTACAGCTCCTCCAGGCTGTCCAGAGCTCTCCACTCTATTGGACATGGAATCGAACATTTCTCACTAGATTTGTGTTGATGAACAGGCGCCGGCGACCCAGGCACCTAATACCGAGCTTTCGGGCCCCTGAGCACACCAGAAGACGATTGTCGGCTAACTGGTGCTTGGCGCCCAGGGGACCAGGACGTGGAGAAACAGCACAGCTTGCATTTATGCGTTGAGAGGATGCGCTACTGTCATCGGGCAGAAGATGAGCCGACTCGCCCGTTAAGCGACCCCGCTATTCACACGTCCTTCTTCCCCGCATTCAGAGTCGGTTTTCAAGATCATGGAACTGAACCACGACGCAGAAGAACATCGTACTCACAGCTATGCATAATTGGCCGCTATCTCGCTATTAGGGTCAGTTGTGGGATCTTTGGGGATGAGTACTTAGTCCAGCGGGTTGGAGCTGGGGTTTGGCATCCCATTCCATTTCGAGATTTCCGCCATTCTGAATACGACTGTAAGGTCGCCAGAGGCCCAACGATATACAGAACGGGAGAGGTACGTGACGAGAGTATATGAGTAAGGCGGGAGAAATGGCAGTTCTATGACCAAGCATTACGTACAGCACCTTTCCGCTGGCTCATCATGCCTTCCCGTAGGCTGGAGGCATAAACTTGTGGCTATTCCTCTATTCAGAGGCTAAGACATTCTTGGTCTTGAAAACAACAGCTTCCCCCGGCAGGTGTGGGAGAAGTAAAGCAGTATCCCAGTACAACCAGACTTCCTTGAAATGCAGACCTTCAGGCGTGGTTTCATCACCACTTGGACCAACGATAGCAATCATGACAACTGGGATGCTAACAGTCGGTTTCTCCGCATCGTTGCCCTTGACCCACAGGTTGCGGATATTCTGAGTGATGAATTGAGTAGTACCGTCATCACGCTGAATCTCCGTGAACTGGATCCAGTCATGGCTGATGCGGTCGAAGACGCCAAACAATTTCTTCATCCACGCCCACATCTCTTCCCCGCCATGATAAACGGCGTTGTTCTGGTTGTGAAATGTAACATCTTTGGAATAGAACTTGAGGCCGGAGCCAACATTGTATCCTTTATTGTCGACGGCGTGGACGTAAGCCTTGAAGAACCTTTGTGTAGGCGTTGTTGGTTCCCAATGTGGACCGGCTAACTGCGCGGTAAGGGTAGGCATTTCGTGTTTCCTGGATGGTTCGATAATGCGAACGGAGGCGAGTGTGATAGTGTGTGAAATTCGCTCAAGACTCGAACGTTCTGAGGTAACTAGCCGTAGTCGTAGATGTTGAAGTACGGATGAGGAAGGTACAGGCCGCAAACTTATATAGTTATAACATAAGTCAAACCTCTCCGGGGTACTAGGATCCGAAGTGTTGTGCCGGAATAGACCGGGCTGTTACACCTAGGTATGCTGACAAGTAATCACCACGTAGATAAAATCACTACATATAATGGGCCCAAAGCTAATGATTCTTAACTCTAATCATAACTGATAGAGCCGAGCTGACTTAAGAAGACGGATAGGATACGAAGTGGAGCTTAAGGATATCATGTATGGAAGGGGTCAATCCTAGTGGACGATTACCAACAGTCGTACGAGGTGAGGAGACGGATGTCAATGCGAAAAGACACATCTGACAACAGAATCCGAGGATTGTCCGGCCAAATTCTGTTAGGGTCTGGGTTGACACTTTCTAAACAATCCTTGAGTTATTGTCTTTGAATTGATACTCTCATACATCACCTTCATGATAGGCGCCAGTATTTCTTCTAGCTCAGCATCTATAGCAGTCGGCACTAACGCTAGGAAATCTGTGGGCGGATTGAACATGTTGCTGAATTACAGGTACTGATAAGAGATGATGACAAGCGTTGTTCGGCTGCTCTCGTAGAGATAAAGGATTAGTATACACTAGTGATCGCTGCCTCGGTGGCCCTAGCATCAAAATCTTTTTTGAAGAAGCGCAATGTAGCACATCACTGCTATTAACGCCCAAGTATAGAAATGATCGGCCGCTTGCCGACCTTGGAGCGAGTGCTTGGTTTTGTAATCATACCGAGGTTTGGTGCGGGGTGACGATTAAAGTTTGGCAACAACACTAAACCTGATAAGTGTACTATGCTTCCAAGTACCCTACAAAATAACGTGATTCTAATCAACGAGATAATTGAGTAGAGTAAGCTTGCATTTCTTTACGCAGCTATTTTTCTTGGAGAAACTGTTCTTACCCCGTTTGACACATCTAAAGTTCGCTCGCGCCTTACATAGTGTCAACCGATCATGTCTGCCCCTCGCCAGGATATCGAGTTCAAGGCCTGTGATGGCACTATCCTTCGCGGATGGTTGTATCCGAGGGAAGAGGCATCGCCTTGTATTATCATGACTCATGGCGTACGTTTTCTCCGTCCTTTCATTCATCGCATTCTGCTTGTGTCAGTCGAGTAACTAACCTTACTCTCACAGCTTGGTGGCACGCGTCATTTCCTACTGCCCAATTTCGCTACTGCGTTCCATGAAGCCGGTTACGTCGTTTTACTTTACGACAATCGTAACTGGGGCGACAGCGACGGCCTACCCAGGCAAGAGTCCAATCCTGCTTTGCAACAAGCAGATTATTACGACGCCTTCAACTATGCGACTACTCTGGACTGCGTAGATGATGCGAGAGTTGTGTACTGGGGAAGCAGCTTTTCAGGCGGTAACGTTATTCATGCAGCTGCTGTGGATAAACGCATCAAAGCCGCAATTATTCAATGCCCTGCTGTGTCTGGCGAGACTCGATCTATCGCATTTAAAGATCGCATTCCAGCAGTATTGGAAGATAGAAGGCAGATTGTTACCGGCTCAGGGGCACCCACTGTACCTCTTATCGCGGAAGATCGCGAATCTGCCCACCCGACCAAGACAACGGCGATGTTTCCTACTAAAGACGCCTACGACATTCTTAAAGAACAGAAGAAATGCGGAAGCCGTTGGGAGAATTTTGTCACAACTCAGACACAACTTCATATGCTCACATTCGAAGGACAAGCTATGATTCACAGAATATCTCCTACGCCACTCCTTTTTGTAGTCCCTGGTAACGATGTGCTTGTATCAACAGCTTCTCAAATGAGTGCTTTCGAAAAGGCTAGAGAGCCGAAGCAGTTGCATTATCTGGAAGGATGTGGTCACTTTGACTTATATCTGGGTGATCACTTTAAGAAGAACATTCAGGCTCAGATAGCTTTCTTGAATACTTATGTAAAATAACACAAGATCTACAGTACACAACGGCATTTGCTGAAGAAAAGAAAAAGTCTTCAATAGATCCACGTATCAATACCCATTGGCTACCGTATCTGAATTGAACATAATATAAAGTGCGAGCCACTGCATTCACTATGTATGCTATTTGATACTAACGATGACCACTCTGACTTCATATCCCTCTTCTCAACCTGCACGGTTCTATTCCAGAACGGCAACTGATTAACTCATCCGTCTCTTTATGTCGAAAGGAATCTTAGTTCTACTAATTATCTTCGTCCACTGACTTGCATCTCCACTCCCAGATTCACCCGTCCTCTATATACAAACAAGCTCGTAGATACTTAGTTATCTTCTAGCAAGAGGCACACGTCGTAGAGTTTGGAAACATATACGGTAAACTCTAGTATTGTGAACCAAGATAAGTACCCTCCGGGTTTAGTTTTACTGGGAATACCATGGCAAAGTGTAGCCCAGGTTTGCTAGGCGCTGCTTAAAAGCTTTCTCCTGAGAAATCCTTACCTTGGTAGCCTCTTTGTTCTTTGTGATTCCGTGGATCTTATCGATGATAGCATCTTTGGTGGGTGTAAAGAGATCCTCTGCATGGACTCTGTTCTGCCTCGGAAATATGATTACTCATCTGCAACACAGCAAGAAAATGCCTAGGTATCGAGGAGTCACAGCCACCATTCGAATAACTGATATTTCCAACCGCGGCGAGTAATATGATTACGAATGTATCTTGAATGTAGGCGTACATAAATAGCTAGAACATTCTACGTATGCATAGTCCCCAGAGAACATTCATACAATTTTGAACCAAAACGACACCAACAATGGCAAGCATGAAAGCAGTCGGAGTTTCGACCTACGGGCCTGTAGATAATTTCCAGTCTCGTGACATTCCCAAGCCCGGAGAGCCAACTGGTAGAGACGTGCTTGTCAAGGAAGTCTTGAACCCTTAACCCTCTTACTTTTCTAACAATATCGATAGAGTCAAGGCTTGCTCTGTCAACCCGATAGACACAAAGATTCGAGGCGGTACCTATGATGACGCACCTGGTAAGAAATGACCGGCCTCATAACAACTGATGGCTAACAACTGTAATCAGATTATTACGAACACGCGCCCCAAGGCTTTCACGTTATTGGATACGATGGTGCCGGAACTGTTCTAGAAGTGGGCCCCGACGTCACACGTTTTCAAGTCGGTGACGACATCTCATGGGTCGGAGCGACAACTCGTCAGGGTAGTTACGCAGAGTACCAGCTCGTTAGCGAGTTCCTCTGCTGTAAGAAACCGGAGAACCTCGATTTCGTCGAAGCAGCGAGCTATGGCTTGACATTCGGAACAGCCTACCAGTCTTTGAATCATCGTCTGGAGATTAAGCCTAATGAAGATGCCGGCATTCTGATCGTACGTCATAACTGCCTTTTACAAGAGTATTCTCAACTACGTTTCCTACGTCTGAGCTAACGTAATATGATGTAATACAGATTAATGGCGGAGGCGGAGTCGGTAGTGCTGCTATCCAATTGGCGCGCAATGTTCTACACTTACCAGTAGTTATTGCTACTGCATCTCGACCCGACACTGCAGCGTCTTGCAAGCGGATGGGCGCTACCCACGTAGTCAATCACCGCAACGATCTTGTCGAGGAGATCAAAGCCTTGAAACTGGACGTCCCGATTAAGTATGCTTATTCCTATATACCTATCCGCTCATAGCACACGTAGCTGATCGCTCTCCACAGATATGCGTACGTGCTGGGACCGACTGAACAATATGTCCACGCAATCGCAAAAATCTGCGCACCCTTTTCCAAAGTGTGCACTATCGTACAGGCCGACGTTAGGCTCTATGGAACCGAATTCATGTCCAAGTCAATGACCTTCTCCTGGGACTGGTTAGGTACAGCAGCGTTCCACCACAGCAATGTCGAGAGCTATCACGAGATTTTCAAAACCCTTGGAAATCTGATGAGCGAGGGAAAGCTCTTTCCGACCCTTAATCAGCGGTACAAACTTACTCTTGAGAACTTGAAGAAGGCCCATCGGCAAATCGAGTCCAAGGCCACTATAGGCAAGATTGGTCTTGGTGTCGAAGAGCCGGGTGAGGGAACACCTTTTGCTTAAGAAGAGAATGCTATGTCTTAAAATAAGGGCGTTTTGTAGATCACAAATCAATGATTACCGAGGGCTGATCACTAATGCTACCACTAGTGGTCTAGTGATGTCTGTGCGTAATCTTAGTACATATCCAGAGCGCAGCCCAACACGAGTAAGTGTGTTTGATGCACGAAATCTCTACTTAAACTCAGCACCTCATTCACTATCGATAAGTCTTCTTCACACTCCTGGGATCATGGGTCTCGGCTTCAAGGTCTTCCATTCTACTCGCCCCAGCGCAACCAGGACTGGTCCGTCGGGACACGATGACTTGAAATGGGTACCCACAAGCTCAACCTTGATATTCGGCGACAGAGATGCCGTTCTCGTCGATGCCCAATTGACAGAGGAAGCTGCAAAGGAACTAGTGAGCTGGGTGGTGGCCGCTGACAAGAACATCACACATATTTACGTCACCCACGCGCATGGCGATCACTTTTTCGGTTGCGGTCTGCTCCTCGAAACTTTTCCAAACGCAAAAGTCGTCGCGACAAGCGAGGTAGTGGCGGGCATGGATAACGAGTTGACCCCGAAGAGACGGGAATTCTGGAATACACTCTTCCCAGGCAAAATTCCGAAGAACCTTGTTTCGGGTAGCCCTCTACACGCAGATCAACTGGAGCTTGAGGGCGAAAGTCTACATGCCCTCAGAGTAGGCCACACAGATACAGACGACACTACCATTCTCTGGGTTCCTTCTATTGGCCTCGCTGTGGTTGGTGACGCCGTCTACGCAAACACCCACCCCTACCTAGGGGAGGCGAAATCTGAATCATCGCGACTAGAGTGGATTGCAGCACTGGACAAGATCGCAGCTCTCTACCCTAAAAATGTCGTGGGAGGACACAGTGATCCTAGCAAAGGTTATGATCCACAGGCGATTGAAGAAACCAAAGTCTACTTGCAAAATTTCAACCGGCTTTGCGAAGAGACTGAGACAGCTGAAGAACTTTACCATCGCTTACTCGATTTGTATCCTAAACGCATCAATCCCGGATCAGCATGGGCTGGTGCTAGTCTTGTAAAGAAATCATCCTAATCTACAGTAATAGAGAGCTTTGGAAGTAGAATAGTTCTTACAGATTCTGTAGTTCTTCAACAACAACGTTTACAGTACTGCATAAAATCATAGTAGTTTTCTGCAGTTACTAGAACCTTTACTGCTCGCGTAGCGACCTGGCTCGGGTAGCGCGCCCAGACTGTAAGACTAATACAGGCCACAAGGACATGTTGCTCACAGCCATGCACAAAACTACATACAGCAACTATTACACCCAAGAACCATGGTTCGCAACGCCCAGTCGTGCCAGCCTAGCTCCAAAACCCCCAAACCACATACACCCACAAACTGTGCCAGACTATTGGCTCTTACTAGAAGCCAAAGGCATCCAACAAACTGTTCGCATCAGGCTCGTGGAACTGCGTCGGTGGCGGTTTCTTCTTCTCCTTGTCCTTGTCTTTTCTCTTCTCACCCTCATCCGTCTCATCATTCTGATTTCCCTCTCCGTTATCTTCGTCGTCATCTCCGCTTTCCCTACCCTCTTCCAACGTCCCCTTACTCTCCGCAAGCTCATTGTGCGCATGCTCGCGCACGGGAAGGTCAGCAACGACAAGCGAGCTCCTCCTGCGCAGCAACTTCCTAGGATCAAAGTCAAAGTCCGTCGTCGCATCCCTCCCTCCTGTTCCTCCCCCTTGCGCTGATGAGAAGCTCTGTCTAGGCATCTCGGGACTAAGCGGCGGACGTCCAGGTCCTACATTTGTCTGTGGCGGCGGCAACAAGAATTCCCACCCTCTGACTAGATCGAGCGCCAGAACGTCGCAACCCATACGATCGTACAGCCCAGCCGTATGCAGCACGAAATCCCATTCCTCGCGCATACCGATCATGGTGGCGCCGCGGAGTGTCTGCAGCGACTTTTCGCGCAACTGCTTGTACAAGACCACCAAGGCCGGGTCGTCTGTGAGATAAGACTTCGCCGCCGAACTGGGTGGCTCCGGGGTTTCGAGGAGAGTAGACAAGGGTGTGACGAGGGAGCGAACCGCCATGTCTTTCTTGTTCAACAGCCAGTACGCCCATGTTGCTAGCCATCTGTTTCCTTGCCTAGCAGCTTGTGGTAGAATCTTGTCTTTCAGAAACGTCAGCAGGACGGGTGAGTCGTCGCCTCCGTAGACGCGGGCAACGGCTATGGCGAGTTGTGTGTCGCCAAGCTGATTATGCAGGACACTGACGGCGTCTTGGAGATGGTCAGCGAGGAGGAAGAAGGACGCTGCATATTCGAATCTTCTTCTGCCCATGAGTGCGTACGCGTTCTTCAGTGCAGCAGTTTTCCATCTCTCTTCGGAGAAATTATTGGAAAGAAGGCGGTGGGTTGCACCTTGTTCACGCGACCAAGTAGCCATGCGCCAGAGACCGACGAGGACTGTCTTTTTCCGGAGAGCCAAGTAGTAAAGCGCGCAGTCGACAGGGTTCTTCTCTTCGGTTTTGGTATATTCGTTTCGAGCGATGACTTCGAATTGAGCGCGCTAGGGACGTGGTTAGTGAGTAAATCAGGATATAGTATCACGTTACTGTACCAATGCGTTGATGTCAGACATCCACATAAACACTCCGCATTCCTTTGCGTGCTGCCACAACATCTTGCCGCTGAAGTGTCTGCTAACAAGGTCAACGAGGATATCCTGACTTCCTGAGTGGAACGCCCAGATGATCTCGCGCCACGATATAGGGCCTTTGTGCGTTTCGCTCAGCACATGTTGACGAAAGAACAATAAGAAGCGTCCAGCATTATCGTCAATCGATCGGCGATGCTTCTCAACCATACCAATACACTCAATAACATCGGCCAGTCGAAACTGTTCGCGACTGGACAAAAGCGGTATCCGCTTGGTAGTCAAGAGTTCCTTGAGATTGGACGCGACTTCTTCGGTGACAGCTTCGGGTTCGCTATCATCTGAGAAGTCAGCGTACGACGTGTGTATCTCTTTCCGCGATGCAGTCATTTGAGTCTATTGGGGTTAGTCGCATCCTGCTAGCGTCATCCATGTACGTACCTCAGCTTCTGAGAAGTCTTCAGGTGAGAATCCCAACGAGCTATCCAGCTCCTCACCTTCGATCCAGAACTTGAGTGTAGCATAGAGGCGGATCAGGATGCGCTGCACTAATAGCAGCTTGCCAGCCAATACGCATTGTGAGAGCAACTGGGGATGGTAGGCGGGAAGGGGACCGTTGAGTCGACTAACGGCATTGAAAATGTCAATAGATGCAGTCTTGCGAGAGATGGTACGCAAGCTTGGGAACAGCCCTTCCGACACCTGGACATGCTCGTCCTGGATGAAGAGCTGGTTGCCTGCACCGATGACGAGATTGCCACTGCTTAGCCATACTGAATCGCCAATCGGATGAGGCGTGATATCGCGGATGCGCACATCGCGGATCTGCACCCAAGATGGGCCGGCGTTGAGGTAGTCGTATCGAAGCTGAGCGTAGATGACGACTCGGTGGGGGAAACCAACAGCAAGGATGGACTGATTGTCCGGGGTAGATGACCAGTCGAGATCCTGGATGACGCCGTTGCCTTCGAATCTCTCTTCGTGCTCCAACTGGGCACTTCGCGTGTTCCATATGGTAAGCGTCGTTCGATCAGCATCGACCAGTGCAGCTTTACGTATGGACGTGCCACTAGCAAGTGATGGGCTCTTCACACCAGTCTCGACCTCGGAGGTCATCAGCCAGTCCAACTTCTGTTCGTCAACATTAACGCGCGCAGTCCATGACTTGATGATCCCGGACGTTGTGTATGATATGGCTACATCTCGCGCAAATGTGTCGAGAAACCCTGAAATAACGGGGGCCGTACCCGCAGGATCTACGGGTAGTACAAAGGCAAGATCGTCACCTGATCCTAGGTCGAAAATAGAGAAATGCTTGAGTGCGATGTCCGAATGACCGTTCGTATGGCCATTGGTATGCGCAATGGCAGAGAGCTTGCGACCTGTGATTGGATCGCGCTCTGGTGTTGGCAGTATAACCTCCCAGCATATGCCCTTCATTTCGGCACTAATGGTGGCGATGTGCACGCGGTTTCCGCCAGCTTCGACCTCAGGTATGACTAATAAGCACAAAGGCTTGCCCTGTAATCTGTACGCAGAACGTGTCACCTCAACGGCTTCATGACCGCGGGTATCCCAAAGCGAGATTGCGTCATGGTGTAAGAAAACAACATAATTGCCCTCTTGTAAGAGAGCGGTGCGATGGATATGCTCCGTCACTTTGACACTGCTATGTCGATGCAGTGTCATGCCCTGATCGCTCTGTCGCTGTAACCACACGATGATTTCATCAGTGGTGGTGCGTGATACCAAAGCCCTTCCACTAGCCGTACGATTGACCTTCTTGATGGCATGTGAATGCCCTGTCCACATGGCTTTCCGCTGGATGCGTTGAGGTTGCGATGAGGGGTCGAACAGGTAGTCGATGCGCGACTCTAGCCATTCGATCCGCCCGTCAAAGTGATGCGACAGCAGTGTCAGCTCAGAGTCTGGCCCATCGCCGATGAAAGCGTAGAACTGTACATTGTCCTCGATGGTCTTAGGTTCCTTGGCAAAGTGCAGATGCAGTCCATCTACATGGGCAATGTTGAAAACGTCGGTGACCTTCTTCTGCTTAGCCCCCACGTTCTCGAACCCCCACGCGGACATGTTGCCTCTATCATCCAGCACGACGCATATCTCAGGGTTGCGATTTGCGACTTCGATTAGGTGATGCAGGGCGATGCCGTGGTCCTTTTCTTCTGCTGACGCCTGCTGCATGGCTCTTTCCGTGGCGTGAGTGAAGTGTTTTCCGTCGATGAAGAAGGCATATCTCTTGGTGGACTGCTGCTCCAGCGGCACATGTCGTGTCATTATCGACTCGACAAGGTCCACATCTGCCCACATGTGCATGCCATCCACCCCGTGGTGTTCACCCGGAACCCAGACTCGCACTCTTTGGTCTGCGCATATTGTATATAGTACATTGTCTGTAGACTGGTCCTTGTGGTGCGGGTGTCGCCAATGCAAGCCGGTAATGGCTTTGGGGTGTGCGAGGTAGAAGTAGTCGAAGCTCTGGTCGGCGGAGCCAAACGAGGTGCGCCGCCATATCTTCAGCAGCCGGTCGTACCTGCCTGTTGAAGCTATCAACTCGGCATCGGGCGAGAAATGGGCAAACTTGACGGGGTTTGCCAGCTGCTTGGTCCATATGCGTTCTATGTTGTCGCTGTGCGTGTTGAAGAGGGTGAGGGAGGCGCTGCCAACGAGCAATTCGTCGGGCATACCCCATGAGAGCGTCGTGATTGGGTCGTCGACATCGGAAAGGGACATGCTGCCCTGTTGCGACCACTGCGCACATCAGCAGTCATTCCCAGCGTCCCCTCGGCGTGTGGCCCACCTTGACGGCCCCCTCATCTTGCCCGTATGGCCGGTATATGTAGATGCGTCGCGTCGAACATGCCGCGAGTTTGCCGGTGCCTTGGTCAATGGCGACTGCTTCGAGCTCGAATTCCTCGTCGATGTAGATGGTTTGCAGGACGTGGTTTGGTCGGTCGAGGACGATGAGCGCGTTACCGGAAATGTAAACCTATACGAGAAGCGCGTCAGCCTTCATATGCGCCCTGTGGTGTCTGGTCGTACGATTATCTGGAGGCCGTCCCACAGGCCATGAGCGACAGCCTGGAGCTTAGCCTGGGGTCGCCCAGGGAGAATACCGCGCATAGAAGTTATCGAGCCCTGCTACCGTCGACTGGACATTCTCAGGCTGTTTGTCTAGATCGAGTAGCTTCTGGTTGGGAGTAGCACTCGTAAGGTTCTATTAAGCTTTCGGTGTCTCGCGGTACAACGTGCGACACCTAGGGTTCCTGGAATGAAGCTCACGCGCACGATCCACGTGCTATGTCGTCACCTCACACATCGACAATTTTGAACAACAGGTGGAACATGTTCGTCGCCGCGTAGCGAGTCGAAATTGTTTTCAGTCAGAATCTAGAGCGCGTAGTCGAATCGCAAGCGCCGTTGTTTGGAAATAAATTACATTGTTGACGCTCGAGGGTTGCGCGAGCCTTCCGCAGCGCCGTCTCGGAATCGGAAGCTAGCGCGACAAATATCGGCCCGGCATCAAGTGGTTGGAGCATGGCTTCGAAGCTGCAAGAACGTGTCTCTGTGGTATCTATCTACATCCATCTTTTTTTTGTGTAATCGCAAATACCTTCAGGCCATCCTCATCCAATCTTCCCTTTCAACATGGCCCTTACGCCATCGTCCTCTGCACCCTTCCTTCAACATCCCCCTGCTCTCCCTGCCCCTTCCACTCCACCGTTACCGTGATACCCCGATCATCACCTTTCTCCTTCGCATACGTCAAGCTTCCCTCCAACACTGTACCCTTCTTGTACATCTGCTTCTCCGCAACCTCTTTATCCAGCAGCAGGACCGCCTGATGCCAATGTGTAGGTGTGTTGTTAGGTCCCGTCGAAAAGCCCAGACCGGGAATACCATTCTTGCCCCAGTCGACACTATCCAGCGTCTTGACATCCTGGGAGCTGCCAGGGTGAATGAAGATGGTGTCAAACCATATCGCTATGGCTTCGAGTGATGCAACGTCGCGGTCGAGCGTCATGCGAAGGGGTACCTTGAAGCTAAGATCTTGTACGGACACGGTCTTCATCTCGAGTAGATGGCTTGTCGCGCTGCCGCAGAGGGCCTTCTCGGGGACATCAAAGACACCGATCTCGTGTGTGTTGAGTAGGCCGCCTGGGACCATAGGCAAGAAGTCGAAGCCGTAGATGTCTTTCCAGAACTTTTCGCTTGTGCTGTCGGCTATCCAATCGGCGTCTGAGATTGGAGCAAGGCGGATGTTGCAGTGCGAAGGTACCATGATGCCATCTGGCTTGAGGTACATGTCTCGTGCGCGCAGAACAGAGTCTAGCATGCCCTCGAAAAGGAGCCCGTAGCCCATCCATTCCGAGATGATGATGTCGACTTTCTCCTTGCCGATCAGGCGCTGCGTATTAAAGTCTTCCGCACGACCCTGGATGAGTTCGATACGGTCTTGGTATCCGTTCTTGGCGATGATTTCTTTGGCACGGACTGCGATGCCGGAGTTGTCGACTGCGAAGACTTTCTTGGCACCTGCTCGTGCGCAGAAGAGGGAGAGGATGCCAGTACCACATCCCACATCTAGTACAGTCTTTCCAGCGAACACCTCTGCATTCTTTTCGATAAAGTCACGGTACCCCTCCGTTCGTACCCGGTCCTCGATCATCTCACGGTGTATGCTGTTGCCTTTGTACGATTCGAAGTAGTCTTGATCCCGGTCGTTGGTCAACTTGATCTTGGAGAAGTCTTCTTGCATGTCTTTGTGCATCTTCGCCTCGTATTCATCGTAGTCGATGGCCTTGCTGTCATCATCCGGCATGAGATCCCCAAGTTCAAATAGTAAGGCATCATCCTCTAATACTGGCTGCAGGTATTTGTCGCTCGCAAGCTCCTGTACGGTTACTTTGATAGCTTTGGGCTCCGTGCCTTTTTGAGCTTCCGCTCGGAGGTAGTTGATCAACTTGATGACGGTGAGTTCGTCAGCGTCTGGCACAGTCAGTCAGTAGTCATCCCAAAGGAGTAAAGTGCGCAGGGCACATGGACGCATTGGAAACTATACCTGGTCCAAGCCCTTTGATCGTGGCAATGAGATCAAACCCGTTCTCAGCCTTGTTGTGCTCTACCATGTCCGACACACGAGTCCATTGTCGATCCGAGAATAGATCTTTGAAGCTAGTCGTATCCGGCTCGCTTGCGTCTTCGACAATGCTGCCGACTGAGCTCGCGTCGTCGTCTGATGAAAAGTCTGACATGTCGTGAAGTGAAATCACTGTACTTTGTGCGAATGCAAGCTTTTTGAAGTCTGCCAAAACTGCAAAGAGTTGTGATGTCGCGTCAAGTTGCCTTTGGTGGGGGAAGGCTCTGCGGTTAGTGTGTGCGAATGTGGGCGAGGCTGCGGGGTAGGTTTGTCGGGCCTACCGTACCTTCTCTGCCCCTCCTAATTCGTGTTTCGCCAACACTCATCAATGTCAGCAATGTCATCAGATGTATGAGCGTTACCTGGCACAGAAGACCATAGCGTACTACTCAATACAGTGAACTCACTCTCTCGGCGCTGACCCTGATGTCTGGACAGCGTAGCGTGACACCATCGTCGTTTGAACTAGCACAAGGTATACTTGAGGTGACAGTCTAACAGCCTGACACTCGACTTTGCATCAACTATGGAAAACACTGAGCAAGACTCACCATGGCAGTTGGAGAGACAGCGCCCTACTATGCTCGAGTCACTGTAAGTGGCCGTATGGTCATCGCCAAACACTACAGTAACCATGAATTAGGTCGATCGTGCGTTCAAGAATTCGGGACCAAAGCTTCAAGAGTACTATTCAGACCTGTTTGAATCTACGGCAGCAAAGCACTCGTACTATCCTGCTATACGAGCTGGGTTGTAGAGTTTGCTCACTCAATTTGAAGCCTCGAGGACCAGATCAACCACACTCACTCTTGCGGAACTTTGCAAAACTGTCCGATCTAACGCCCGACTGTTCTTTCTGTAACCTTATTGAAAAGTCATTTGACCAGCTTACGGACAAGAAGGATGAGACTACAGTGTGTGTCGTCAATTGTGGGAAGAAAGGTCTTGACATCCAATTGTGCTTTCGAATCCAGGACCCATATTGTGAGGGCCAACATGTGCAAATATTTTCTCCTGGCAAGTATTTTCCAACCAGAGATTGAAACCCTCCTAATTTGAAGGTAGAAATAAAGCAGACGCAGTGTCCTTTCGAAACACGTAACATTTGCTCAGATCCAAGGTCAAATGACCAGTTCAAGAAGATTACTACATGGATTAGTGATTGTGTTCAAAGCCACGGGCAGTGCACAGCTCCGAACAAGGCGTTTGCGCCGACCCGCCTAATCAAGATCGGGAAGGAAAGCATTCAGGATGCTCATCTTGTATCCTCGACTGGTCCGGTGCGCTACGCTGTATTGACATATTGTACGGACGTCCTCCATCGCTGTAGTGCTCCACGTGCTGACTTTGATGATTGAATACCAGGCTGGGGTCTATATCCCCAGTCTATGACATTAAAGGCCAACGTTGCAGAAAGGCATAGGTGCCTAGACGTATCTCTGCTTCCTCAAACCCTGCAAGATGCGTTATTCGCCACTCAAAAGCTAGGGCTGGAGTACATATGGATCGACTCGATCTGTATATTGCAGGACGACCGCGATGACTGGGCAAAGGAAGCTGCTACCATGGCGGACGTATACTCGAATGGCTACGTGGTCATTTCAGCAACGGCTGCAAAAGCATCAACCCAAGGATTCCTATGGCCAAGGAAATCACCACTCAGTATCTCATGCACGTCTCCATCTGGTTCACAATTCGATGTGCAAGCCCGTCGAAACGACACACATTGGTGCAACTTGAATAGACATAACAACGAGTACCCGTTATTCTCCCGAGCGTGGTGCATGCAAGAGCGACACCTAGCAAGGAGGATCGTCCACTTTCTTCCCGGCGAAGTGCGCTTCGAATGCCGCACCCACGACACCTGTGAATGTGATGCTGTACCATGGCCACACCCCGAGCCCACTTCAGGCGACGACTACTACCGAGCTCTGCGTGCAGCATGTGAGTCCGGCAGTATTGGCGATGCAGAGTTCGCTGGGCTATGGAACAATCTCATCAAGGAATACACCGAGATGGGCATAACGCACAGAAGTGACTTACTTCCTGCACTCGGCGGCATTGCGAGAAGCCTTTCTCTCATCGCCCCAGGAACTTACCTTGCAGGACTTTGGGAAAAAGGCCTCGCGTTCCAACTCACATGGTACTGTGACGACTTCGACATGGACACCACGCCTATACGGCTGGAGAGTTTGCGCCAACCAACATGGTCGTGGATATCGTCTCCAGCGCAGATCTGGCCGGAGAATGTCTACAACTCCCCCAAGGACAACCTTCAATCGTTGGCGTCTTTGGTAACTTCGAATGTGGAACCACTGCGAAACGATCCTTATGGTGGGATCAAGAGTGTATCGATCGACCTCGAGGGCCCTGTAGCTTCTGGACCCGACGTTATGACGTTGTTCGAAAAGGTGGCGGCGGAAAGAGAATTATTCCTGACCTTCAATATTGATGCCAAGAATAAGTTCAGGGCCGCGAGAATGCGGCCAGAGACGTGGGAGCAATTACATGCAATCACGGATTGGCGATATGTCGTATGTCTTGCGTTGTATACGTATGAGACTCGATACCGAGGTCAGAATATTGGTCTGATGGATGGTCTACTGCTTCGGCGTTTGCGCGGGGACTCAATGTATGTGAGGATTGGCACCGTGACGTGGATGCCGTGGGAGTTGTTTGACAGATTCGCTGCAGATGCTGTCGTCAGTGTAGTCTAGTCGCGGATGTTACTTCGCTATGTATGCTCGCGAGAGGCTTTAAGGTGCGTCCTTGGGCGGAGAGGCACACTACGTCCCGAGGCGGATTGGTGGTGTGGAGCTTCGGCGCCTCTATTGCGAAGAGTTATAGAATTGACATTTACATGCGGTCTTAATTAATTAATTCTCCTTCAGATCAACAGGCTCCAATGAGGATCTCTGAAGTGCTGGTCGTGCTGTCGATCATTTCATTTGAACGCCACTTGAACGTAGTAGTGAGCTCGCTGAAGGCTCCGAAGAGTGGGGAAGGGAAACTCTACGGCGAGAACTAATCTGGCGAGACCTATCAGGCAAGCTTGGTCTGCAATAGCGTTCTTACTAGGTACTAATGATTTCATGTAACAAATCAAACACTATTGCCTCTTTGCATTGGCTTTGAGATAGATGTGGCGCATGTTAACAGTTTTCTAAGAGCATCATACGCTGCGTGCAGAGAACTGTGCTCGGTGTTCTTTCATGTGTTGATTAAAAGATGCTTACTACGCGCCCGACAATGCTTGCTTAAGGCCTGAGCGATGCTGTTCAGACCCTGGTCCGGTGTTAACTTCCTGATGTTGGTGAGCACCCACATCAAGCGTCTTAACTACCTGCTCGCGCCCTCTAGCTGAAGCTGCCTGCAGTGCGGCGCCGTACTCTCCACCCTGCGCATTGACCTCGGCGCCCGCGTCGAGCAGTGACCGAAGAATTCTAGATGAACCTTGAGACTTGTGTTGTAAAACGGAGTGCTGTTACACTCAGCTGAGGCTGAATGTACGACAAATGTTACGCTTTACCGCATATCATACATAGTCTAGACCTATGCTAGCTACTTAGCGCTAAATATTTTTACGGCTGCATTTGAAGGTAACGGCGCATCCGCTAAGCACTGTATTGGCCGCATTGCTTTTGGTTCTCAGCTGTATTCACGACGGCCTAGAACAGTCCGATCCATATCAGGCTGCTATTCCCAACTATATAGTAAGCAACCCCGCCTCAGCTACCATAATGCGACACCTTCAACATCATGGCAAATAAAAGACAAGACTACTTCATTTCTCCGAATTGGGACCTTCCACCTAATGATCCCATCAAGCTAGGAAGCGTCATCACGTCGCTCAGGAGCCCGATCGGCCAATTGCTTTTTACCCACCCAATGAAGATAACGTGTTGCCACCCACCAAGCTGTCAATCTCAATCACGACAGAGAAGTCTAAATCGGCTGCCTTTTCGAAAATGACCACATTTCTAAGCGGGCTGCTACGATTTGGTGCGGACGCTGGTGTCAATTGTGAGAGCAGGTATGCACAGCCCTGTATAGACTTTTGACACCCTTTAACATGATGCAGCGATAAGACATCGTTAACGTGCGATCGCATAGACACCAAGCAATTCATTCCGAATAAGAAATACCTCCAGCGCTGTGTCGATAATGAAGCGTTTCGTGACCATGTTAAGAGATAGGGTTTTCTCACCCCTGTATACATTATCACCGGTGTCAACACTGTAAATGGTGCGCGAGGTGCTACAGATACGTCACGCGCAGTTGAAGGACTTGTAGGTGTGCAAGTTGATGGCACTATCTGGAGCGGAGGCGCGGTTCGGGTCGGTGGAGGGCCAGAGATCAGGGGCGGATTAGGTACTAAGAGCGCAGTATCCTGGACTGGTACCACGGATTTCGTATATGCATATAAACTGAGTGTGGTCCGCACATTGTGGGAAGAGGTGGCAACTGAGCGCAGTCTCAGGGCCAAGGTCAAGTGCTGTTCTGTGAACAGCGGGTCTGAGAAGAGCGAGTCTGAGGAAGATGACTATGGAGTTCCTCTAGACGTGGAGCATCCAGATGACTTCAAAATTCAGCTCAAGGAGGATCAGAATGAGTTCGAGGTTGAGCTTGTGGAGGAAGATGATATTGGGGTTATCTACAATATTCCTGTAGGCCAATGATTTGGATTGAAAGTCCTTGTTCATGTGCATAGGGCGGTAAAGGTCGACGCAGTATCCCCTTACTCTACTCTGATTTTAGGTCTTCCCCATATGCAAACCCAGTCTCAATACCGAGTGGCATATTCGCTTCATGGGATATCTACAGAAACTGCGTCAAAGACACTCAGGTTACATTCCGAACGCGACAAGAGAAAGCGAAAACCCGCCAAGAACGCCCGAGTACGCAGCTCGTTTCTTCCAATCCGTGCCGTCAAACATACCCTTCTGAAAATCGGTTTTGGGCGAGCGAACTACAGCTCTTCATCAGAGTCTTCTTCGAGTAACTGGCGGGCAAGTTCTTCGGCGCGCGCAGCCAGGCGAGGCTTCTTGACTTGTGGAGGAGAATCAACGACGTCGACCTCGTCCGCCTCGTCGCCGTTACCCTCTTCGTTGTCTGAACTCCAGCGAGCCTCACTGCCATAGCCATGCTCGACCTCCATCTCTTCGTTGTCCTCAGGCTCCGTCACATCCTCATCCTTTTCACTATCAGAAGCCGGCGCAGCGCGCTTACGCTTCTTGGAACGACTTGTGGATACTGCGTTGTTGTTGCCAGCTGCACTGTACACATCATCGCGGTAAACATTATCGTCATCAGTCTGTGTGCCAACCGATCGGAACTTGCTCTTGTACGTCCCAGTTCTACGTGTCCGTCCGCTCTTCCGGTGATTGACACGCTTCTCGAGTGGAAACTCGGACAAGGGAATGATGTGTTCGGGATACCGCTCGTCGTCAGTGACCTCGCCGCCACCCTCAATCATCAGCCGGAAGTCGCGAGCGTGCTCGCGGAGATACCACATGGTGTGGTTCTTGGTCTCGTGAGCGGACGTGATCTGGCCACGTAGAGCGTCCAGTCCGCGCGCTTTTCCACCAACAGCGTTGATCGCATCGGTGATTGCTTGGAGGTCCGCCGAAGTCATGGTATCGTATGCATCGATGCCGTTGTCGTGGATAAAGGCGTTGATGGCTGTGTACATGGCGCAGATCTCGCCAGCCGTCCAGTGATCCCGCGTCTTCTTCTTTTCGTAGTCTGCGTTTGAGCGCCGCGAGATCTGGTCGATCCACTTGTTGTACGCATCTTTCCAGACCTTGTCGTTGGGATCGATGTCTTTGAGCTTTGAGATGCCGATGTGAATGTGCTGTACAATGCGAAAATGTGCAGTCAGTTCGTGTTGCAGTGTATATCTCGTGTAAATAATACTTACCTCATAGGCGTGTGTACGGGCGTTGAACCGGCGAAGAGCTATGCTAGGAGTAAAGACCTCGTGGTTGCCCTTGAAGTCGCGCTCCCAGCGGAAAGCAGCGACCTTGTTCCAGCGGACTACGACATCGCTCTTCTTCTCTTTATCCTTCTTTGGTACCTTGCGGCTCTCTAGGTCGGGAAAGAAGACGCTAGCACGCGCATCGTAGAGATCCTCGTCGGCAGAGTCTCGCTGCTCTGGGATGATATCAGTTTGCGTGAACCAGCCGCTGCCATCTGGCAACTTGATTTTAAAAGAGGCCTCGATCTTGGACGGGTCGGTGTCGTGGGGAGCGAACTTCTCGTGTGGAGAGTTTGGCTTGTTTTTGAGTTCTCGACCTGCGAATGGAGCGGGATCGTCGGAAAGGCCGCTCTCGCTATCGCTAGCGATGTCGGTGAAGTCGTGGACAGACGAGCTGGTGGCAGGCGCCTTGCCCTTATCTTTGCGCTGCGGCGTTGGCATCTCTGGCTCGATAGACGCCTGGTGGGCGGGACTGCCAATCGGGGTGGTTGTCATCTTGTTTCTTCCTCGTCAAGGTGGATTGACTGTGTCAGGCGATTAGTATTTGTTGGGGTTGAAGATTGCGCACAGTGGGGACGATTGTGCTTGAGCGCGTGAAAGAGCTTCGATTATCTGCCAGTTGAAGCGCGCCGGAAGGTCGAGCATAAGATGAAGCTAGTCACAAGGCAAGAAATTTGACTCTCGTGCGTCTCGCGCTTTGTGAAAGTTGTTGGAATGCAAAGGGTGACCTACTATTGCAGTTTTGACGGTGTTTGTCGTTGGTCATGGAGTAAGCCCTCCAAGATATACACGGAGGGGAGCGCAAGTTTGAGACTTCAAAACAAAGCTTAACGAATTGGGAAACTCTACGTCACTGCCTAGTTGGTGGGGGTTTGATTCACTTTTCGAGCACTGTGTAGAGTCGCTCATAGTAGTCAGGTCTATATCAGATCAGCTTCGGACGGTGCATGTTAAGGCATCAGTAGGCTTGTCGTGGACACGAAGGATACTTTTAAGGATAACGGCGATCGGGAAACCATCTCAAGTCTGTCGAGATTTTCTGAATTGCAGAAACAGTTCGCAAGCAGAATTGCCAACCACATGGAGCGAGTGAAAAGCACAGCTCATCAGTGTCTTTGTTTTGACAACCTCGAGGTGGCCGAATCATCTTCGAATCTGGGCGCTTGATCGGACGTCTTGTGCACAACAAAGCATTTCAGCAATATTGAAGTACGTAATAAAAGCGGATGGTCGAAACGAGCAACAAAGCACCTGATACATATGTGCTTTCTCAGTAGAGTTCGACGGATACATGATAACCTCGAGGATAAGCAGATGTCCAAGACTTCAACTACAGTTCTTCACACCTGAACGCACATGAAGATTTCACAAATCAGGACATTACATCGATTTTATTTGGAGTCTGCATTAGAAATTACGAGACGAAGGTTCCATAGCATTCATCGCCTCGTCAGCTCTCATCACCTTTACATGCTTCAAACAAAAAGCGCGATAGCAGCGCCAAGTCCCATCAACATAGGCGCACCGGTAGCCATCGGTGCGCCGCCCTCAGTCGCTTCAGGCTGCGCCGCACTCCCAGAAGAACCCGTCCCAGCAGCATCTCCGGTACCGGTAGACATAGCACTCGACAGAGTAGGAGTAGCTGCCTGAGTTGCGTCAAGCTTCTCCGTTCCCGCAGTAAGAACAAGGTAATAGGTCTCAAGATCCGACGCTGGATAGGGTGTCGAGAACGAGTATCCCTCGTCAGCTTCCTCACCGCTCGAAAGCTCGCTGCAAATAGACGGCAAATTAGTGCGAGAGAGAGTCTCGGAACCAGAGGGTAAGGTCAAGGTGAATTCCGCAGTTTCGGTACCGGGTGGGTCCGATCCGCGCGCAGGATAGGTATGCGTATAAGTCAACGTCTCCTCCGATGTCGAGGCGTAAACCGTTCCGGCGCAGACAAGCGGACCGACTAGCTCCGCAGAATAGGATATAGTACATGTGCGGTTCGAATCAGCCTCATCTGGGGTAGGCCAGTTGCAGAAATAGTTATAGGATTTGTCGCCGTCGTCGTCGCCTAGGATTCCACCGATTCCAGCTGGAAGTGGAATGTCAATGCCGAAAACAGTAGGGCCGACAGTCATGGTCAATGGGCCACCGCCTAAACTGAGAGCAGAGGTATTGGTGCCGTTGTCGTAGTCAGCGACGATGGTGGTATGTGTTCCATTGGCGTTGACGACGGATCCAACCCAGCCAATTTTGGTTACCGGCTGGTAGAAACGGGGCATCCAGAATGAGGTTGTTACTTGCGCAGTCGCACTAGCTGCGAACAGCATGGTCGGGAGTAAAGACGCCATCGTAGTGATGATGACGGTCGTTTCAACGCGGAAAGAGGATATTCTGTGATGACTTCCAACTCAAGCCTTTTGCACGGGGTCTTGACGCTTCTTAATAAGATTTGTCTCTTGGCATCTCACCGGTTAGCGGGATGCAAGGCGCACCGCAGCAGCCTCGCATAGACGGATACTGTGCCGCATCAGGCGTCCGTAGTAGCTTGGCACTCCGCTGGGGGTGGATCGTGTCTCTTAATCTGTGGGGTGGCGTACAACCTGGTCTTGTGTATTTACCCCAGATTGGGCTGGCGGCTGGTGGCCTTACCAACAACAACAATGGGTACGCGGGTCTAATCTGTATGCAACGGGGTGATTGGCATGTCTGGCGATACAGATGCGGCTGTGCATGGCTGTGTAGCTCACGTGCGATGGAAACAACCTTGCGTCAATGAGAATACGCTGGATGTGTGGACAATCATGTTGGTGGTGTCTGGTGATGATTGGGGCAAATATGAGCGACCGTTAGCGGGTAGCCGCTGAGAGGACTATGATTGGTGGAACGCACTGAGGTCGCTCATCATGCGAGCAGCCGCTGATGGTACCTATAGAATTTCGATGGCTATGGGCGAAGTCCTGTCGGACCTACGCGGTGGAAGACTCTGCCAGGCTTCGACTGTGATGTCCAAAGCATCTCGCAGATAGCGCAAGCAGGGCTCGTCCAAACAGGCATGGTATTGACTTGTCTCGCAAGCCCATGGCGTACTTCAGCGTTGGTATGCCTTTTCGTCAGCGCACCCCATCTATCCCAGTATCATCTAGTTCAGTTTTTCATCTCGCGATGTCTTCGAAGAATAAGTCGGCCGGTATGCAAGGATTGCGAAAGTATGGCATAGAGGTTTCAACGTCGTTACGTATCTTGCGCCATCATAATGACTTTACAGTACACGCCTATCTTCAACGCTTCGTTGTGAAGCGACAGGTCTCGAGCGCGACAAAGGTGGTAACAGCCTCGGCGGTACGCGTGCGCTTGCGATGTGTGCGCAATGTCCAGAATGCACAACCATCAAAAGAGTGAATCATATTGAAGTTGAAGAAGACAGGAGATGCGACGCGGTCAGATAGTCAAACGGTGCCTCGGTCGCCAGTTGCCATTGAGAGTTCGGCCGTATAAGTGGGTCTCGTCCATCGGCTTACAAGTATAGCCGAGTGCGCGTCATTCCTCTTGATTGGTAATCGCAACATTTCTCGGACGGCGTTACTTATCAATTGCAAGTGCAGCGTCGCGATTCAATAACAAACACCAAAAAGATGCCTCCTCGACACGACATAGAAGGCGCCATACCAGATGAGCGCGCGCCCTTGCTCCAGCATGCCGACGTACGCCAGCGCACGCCCACGCCATCGGAATGCGACGACACAATAGATGAACCGCAAAAGGCGACATCGAGGACCTGGTTCTATGTTTGGAGAGGTCTTTTGGCGTTGTTTGTCATACTAGTTGTCGTTCTTTTTATCAAGGGATGGATTGAAGCAGATGACGTTGATGTATGTAATTCCGAGTGGCGAATCTCACAGTCCCCCAAAGCTCACAGTATGCGACATAGTTCGATCTCAAAGGCGCGTTAAAGCGCGCGTTGGGTGGAGGCTTGAGTGGTGCTGCGGCGATGATCCTGCAAGTATTGCTCTTGATGCCCATTCGTACCATCATGAACTACCAGTACCGCCACGGAACATCAACGACTGTGGCAACAAAGACATTGTACGCAGACGGTGGCATTAGCCGATACTACCAAGGTATGGGCGCTGCACTCGTCCAAGGGCCTATTGCACGATTTGGAGACACAGCCGCCAATGCTGGTATCCTCGCCTTGCTCCAATCCAACGGTTTCTTGAAACAGCTTCCATCTCCCGTCCAAACGATTTTCGCATCTGCGTGCGCCGCATCTTTCAGAATGCTACTCACTCCCATCGATACGCTGAAGACCACACTACAAGCTCAGGGATCTAGTGGCTGGGCGCTCCTCCGGCAACGTATCAAGACTGACGGCATTGGCAGTCTCTGGTGGGGTGCGTTCGCCACCGCGGCAGCGACCTTTGTTGGACATTACCCTTGGTTTGCCGTATACAACTTTCTCTCCGAGACCATCCCAGATCCAACGAGACAGCAGATTGGGTGGTGGTTGCTACGTGCTGCTTTCATTGGCTTTTGCGCATCGGTCGTTTCGGACACCATATCCAACTCGTTGCGCGTCGTAAAGACATATCGACAGGTCAATGATAAGAGGATATCCTACACTGAAGCAGCCAAGGAGGTCATTCGTAAAGACGGGAAGATGGGTCTATTCGGACGAGGATTGAAGACGAGAATTATCGCGAATGGTCTGCAAGGTATACTGTTTTCGATTCTATGGAAGCTATTCTTGAAGATCTGGGAAGACAAGACGGGTTAGAATTAGACGCATATTGAATACGATACATGGATTGGGCTAGAGGAATTTGGCGTCGATTTGATAACTGCAGTTTGCACGGCTGGTCGACCGGTTTAGAACAGGTATTCGGTCAAAACCGAGGTAAGTCCTCGAACAATACCAGCTCAAATATACTTGTACACACTTGCTTCTAACTCACCCAGTCGCAGTATGCGCAAAACCTACTTCATTTTGTAGTGCTGCGATGACGACATGTATAAGCAATGAGCTACTAACACTTCTCGCTTCACTGAATTTACAACCGTCACTGAGAGAGTTTCCTACATATGTTTATACGAAGGACAACTGGCTTTACGTTTGAATACGGTCGCACTATGGGCTATCTTAGGGTTCTTGGACTCGCTTTCCCTGCTCTCTTCGCCTTCTTCCCATCTTGTTCTCCTGCGTCGCCCTTTTCCCGCTTCCGCTTTGGCGACGACTTCCTGCTTCCCTTCCCATCACTACCCGATGATGCATCCTTACTAGCCTCCTTTGGAACTTCAACAGCGACCGACCCATCCTTTTGAAATCTCAGCAGCTCCTCTTCCGTGATAGATGGGATGAATATAGGACCACCGTTGTCGGCTGGGAGGAATCCTCGCATCTCCTTCCGCATTTCGGCAATCTTGCTCGCCCTACCATCAAGTTTTCCCCGGATGGATGTTGCATCGCGCGCAGGTCTTGGTCCTACGGCTCCTCCATTTGTATCCTTGAGCGTCTTGCCTTCGAAGTAGGCGTTGAAAGGAACCATGATGTTGGAGGGACCGGGGAGCTTGATCATGTGGTCTGCTTCGATGGTGGCGCGGAGCTTGCGGTGGAAGAGCGTCATCCATGCGTCTTCGAGGGGTGTGTACATGAGTACGTTCTTCTTGGTGTTGATACCGTGCTCGTGGAAGACGCCGGTGCGCCATTTGCTAATGGCGGCGATTTGGTGTTTGGATGTCCAGTCGACTTCATCGTGCTCGACGTCCGTGTAGGTCAAAGTTTTACGTTCGTCGGTCATGGTGTTACGGAGCTTGATGGTGAGCTTGTGGGGCGAGACGTTACCGGTCCGTGGGGCATCGACATTGCCTTCTAGCAGTATCCACGTGGCAACCTCATCTGAAGAGGTGTCGTCGCTGATTTCTGCCTTGGCTTGGTGATGAATCTCAAAGGAATTGTGGACTGGCGGATTGCGATCGTTCATTGGCTTGCCCTTGATAGTCAGCCTCTTTGCCAAACTCTTGACAGGCTGTCCTAGGGATACTAGCGGCTTTCCAAGGGCCGGAGACGTCGAGAGAAATTGGTCTAAGGTAAGCTGTACTCTTTTCCTGTCTTGTGTTCTGAGCTTGGTTTGGATCTTTAAAAGTTCATCATTCTCATTGCTATCAACACTGTTGACATGATTGAGGTAGCTGTAGTGGTCGAAATACTTCTCGTCTATCCATAGAGGATCGTCAGCGTCTTCCAAGTTCTCTCTAGTAATCTCAGCATCCACGGAAGTAGCTGGTGTATCGGTCGCCAAATCATTTGCAATAGGCGTATCTCCTTCCTGTCTTGCCAGGGTATTGGCCATAGATGTTCCTCCGCCTGGCGTGCCAGAGGTCGCTGCGCTGTCGACCAACTTCCAGCCTTTGGGGTTTGATTCTCCGCCAAAGGTCAACTGCCACTCATTGTAGTACGAAGCCTTAGTCTTGTTGATAGGTTGCCACCCGTAGTGGGAGGAGTCTTCACGTTGTTGAACAAGCGATCGCAGCTCCGCCGGTACCATCTGCTCCGCCAGTTCCGCCAAATCTCCTTCATCGTCTTCCAGCGCCCTCAGATAATTCTTCATGCGTACGGATTGCATCTTCTCTGGTTCAGTAGCTTCGATGGTGTCGCCGTTCTGAAACTCAGGGGTGCGGTGTGGTGCGAGTGGATGAGGACGGTTGAGGCCCATATTGGCGTAATGGGATATGCGCTCGGGACTGCTAGTCGCGTCAGTGGTGTCGCTATACGAGCTCAGATCGGTGCTGGCTACGCAGCAACAGTTTTCGTTATCCTGCCACGCAGGGTCTTCCGAAGGGGCGCAAATGCCTGTATGTGGTGGGGATGGTGGCTCCGAGTCACCCCGTCTAACGAAAGGTTGGCCGTGATGGTTCATTTTGTTCTTTGTAGTTGTGGTTGTAGATGTGGTTGTGGTTGAGATTGTGGTTGAGTGGACGAGCTGCACTGGACTGGTGTTTGGTGGCAAGCCAGTTGGTAAGTCCGTCCAAATCACAGAATGATATGGAGTCGATTGATTTAAATGAGTTTGCTGCGGAAGGAGGTATTCACATGTATCCCCTTGGGAGATAGTGTCTCATATAAGCGGACCTATACCGACACCGCTTGCTTGTTTTGTCGCGCACTATGAGCATATAAAGAGTCTCGAGAGACATTGGGGCTAGTCTGGAACAGAGATGTTGTGAGCGTCAGCCATTGGCTCACAACTGTTCGAGTCGCTGGTCACGTCGGCATCAAGCGCGATATCTTTCTACTACAGCGAGACACGGACCACTTTCGCAGTTCCATCCACACCGTGCATGGCACCCCCACCCACGAGATTTGCTACATGCGACGCTTTTTCTGGGGTATCAGACAACCGTATCGCCTCGAAACACACAACGACGATGGCTTCGACCAACCTCGACGACGGCACCTGGACGATAGACGTGCTCAAGATCAGGATCATAAGCCATCCACTATTCAAGCAGCGTGGAATGGAGATGCCGGCAAAAATACTAGAGCAGGATCTCAAAAGTGCCGCCCGATTCTGTGACCAACACGACTTGTCGAGTACGATAGCGGACGGCAAGACCCCTCGACCACTGGAGTACCAGTCCTACACTGTCAACCCCGATCTGAGACCTATGGCTGCTGCAGCTAGTCTGAACAATACTCATGGGAAGGAGTTTAGCAAGGCTGTTCTCGCCCAGTGGTTACAGCGGTGGGATGTCGATCATGCCCCGCGCATGGCCATGTTCCTGCCACGCCAAAAGAAGGATGGCAAGTCTGTTATCCCAAGGAAGATTGTCCCGACACAAAACCAGCCTGAAATGAAACCAGTAGATTCTAGGAAACGCAAAACTGTGTCGACCATGCCTTTCGTGCCACAGAAGCGCCAGAGCAGGACCAGGACGATGGCCAAAGACGACGATGTCGAGATGCTCGACGAAGGCGACCTGAGTGACGACCGTTACCACACGCAGTCTACGCCGAAGGCTGGCACGCTGACTCGGGAACTACGCCAGGAGAACACAAACTCTCATGAGTCTCGAACCAGCCGAACGATTGCTACCGAGACACACCTCGACGCAAGCAAACACAGGGTGCTACGGGCGCGCAAACTGGTCGCCGAAGACCAAGACCACGGTCCTACAGACGATGCCACGGGCCGTATCGGTGAGGAAGACAATGGTATACTTGAAGCTGGTACCGAACAGTCGCAAGGGTTCGCTGGGAGACGACGCGGCCCTGGACTGAAGGTGACCAGGAGTCGAAAAGCTCGGAAGAAAGCCACGAGAGCTGGCGCGACAAAGACTGTGGAGCAACTCGCAGATGAACAGCAGCAGAAAGATGATGAAGAAGAGCTGAGGATCTACAACAAGCTTCGGCATGGGCGCTATTCTGATCCTCTTCTCGCAGACACCTATCGTGTCAGGAACAAGACAGTCCTTGCGCATATGGAAGGGCACGTTCGACCTGGTGTTAAGCCGGCACGTAGCGAACAACTGGGCACACGACGCCTCTACGAGCGTGAGGCAGACTCGGCAAAGGAAGAAGGAAGGGATCTAGACCTTTGGATGGGTGGACCCTCACCTTGACGTGCTTCGTAGGACGACATTAGGAGACAACTTCAAGAGGAAGAATAGTAGAATCTGACTTCGATTCATTTACATGGTTGACACCGGTGTGGTCGGACAAAGGATAGGCTTTATTTGTTGAAAGTGTGACTAACAAAGTATATAGAGATGAATTTGTAGTGTTCTATTCATGTGTGAAGTAGTCCTTATATCCCTCAGCTCTTCATTTGTCTTCGAGTTTGACTGTATAGTCGTTTTTCGTAGACAACAATGTCACGCACAATGCCCTATGGGTGCTGCGATCTGTCCTCTAGAGTCTTCGTATCCTTTTTTGAGTAGGAAAAGCGCGGATGTGGGAGGACCTCACAACTCCATTGTACTTAGCATTACCAACGAACACAAAGAGAACGACTTATAACCCGGATTTTGCCATTTCTGGGAGGTAACTTCCCATCATGTCGCCCTCGAAATCTACACACGTCTTTAAAAGCTCGCATTCGTGCCCATTCTCGCTCTGCTTTTCCAATCAAGTTAATATTCATCATCGTGATCAAAAATGCCACCCAAAACACCAAGAGATAGCTCAAATGAGAAGAACAACAAAGAAGAACTTCCCCAGAGTCAAGGAACTAGAGTCCTACGTGACCGTAACCCAAAACCAGCAACGTCGCAAGGGCTGCCATCATCTTCGAGTAATCAATTCTCAGCCACGAACAAAGGCACGGGATCTGGGGGTGACATCGGTGTATTCAAGCGTCCTCGAGAAATCGTAGACCGGGATCTGGAAACTCGGAGACAGAAACTGATTAAAACACTACAAAATGCGGAGAATGCAGCCGAGATACCTGATTTTGAAACGCATCTTAGAGACCAGGCCCGAGCAAAAGAGCTCAATGAGGACGATCAAGAGGAATTTATAGCTGTGGCAAACAAAGCAGTCGGCGGGAGCAACAGATTCAAAGCCGATGTACGCTCGAAGGCTCATGAGAATCGATGCGTGGCAACTTCCTTATACGAAGACTTCTTGTATTATCAAACGCCCGAACATCGGTTGCAGTATAGGGAGGAATTCGATGAAACGATGCGTATAACGGCAAAGCCCATGAGAAAGGGACTACCGCCTGCTCTTCTTACAGAGGACGCAAAATATGATAAGAAGTTGCGTCCGTTTATTGATCTATTTGAACAGGATAATGTCGGAGCGACAGAGGAGATAGACTACGAGAAAATGGGTCCCAATAATTTGCATGTAAGACTTCCAAGGGCAAGAAGATTTGCAGTAGGATTAGGTAGGCCTAGAAATCCACGTCTGCTGTCGCCAATAAAACTGTCTCTGGATATTGAAGCAATAGAGAGGAGAAGAAGGGAGATGGAAGACGCGGAAGGTGATCAATCTCTGACGTACGAATCCCATTCCGGGCGGCGGAAACGAGATTTAGAACTTCCATCACCTCTACCAATGACTCGTGGTTCAAGCGGAACTCATTTGGAGAGTGGACTGCACATCGCAGCTAGAGAAACATCATTCGACTGAAAACCTCCTATGATAAGCAAGATGCAGTAGCACCCGGCCGCACACTGATCATGCCAGCAAAGCCCACATTGGAGCTACAAGGAGACGAGCTTAATGAGTTCTCCAAGCCACCAATGACGCCTATTGAATACAACGCAAGTGTTGGCCACCATCACGTCGAAACCACGTCTTGGGCAGAAGCTACAGACGGTCGTAGAGAACGGGCGAAGGAAGAGACTATGAACAGGATGCCAGAAAGTGATGTCGAATCCAGTGATGAAGACTCGAGTGACGACGAAGGTGATGAGTTCGCGATTAGCTACCGTCAATGTAGCAGCCTGGAAGACTGTTCCTGTGGTAGTGAATATGATGATGGTCATGGGCACGACAAAGAGGAGAATAGTAGTCCCGGAGCGCCGCTCAGCATCGCGGGAGGACCACTTGATAACTCGCAAACGACTCAACCCCGCACAGAGATCAACCCCGACACGAATATTGATTTGGATCAAAACACCCCACCCACTACGAAGACTACACCGAGAACACAGTCCGGAGCCGACAAGATGGCTGGGCCTCCGACAGCAAGGCACGACTACAAGAGTGGTGTATACAACCGCCACCAACTCCGACAAGGTCTTAAGTACCTGGGTTTGAGTCAGAATGCACCTGAGCTGAAGGAACTGCATGACCGCATCGACAAATGGGACAGGGAGAACGCGCCCGACGCGGTGCACAAGTATATCATCAAGCACAAGCACACTGCAGTATCCTTCATGAAAAATCTCAAGGTCTTCGACGACGATTGGATGGCTCAGGTCAAGGCCAAGCTCGACGAGCAAGATCCGCAAGACGGGGAATCTGAAGAGGGATCAGATGAAGAATTCGAAGGGGGACAAGAAGAGAATTCTGAAGAAGGACAAGGCCAAGGCTTCGACCAAGAGCAAGACTCCGACCCAGAAGACGTTGACGAAGATGATATGAACGTTGATCAGGCTTCCGAACAAGGCGATTCTGGTAAGAACTTGATGAGTGGTGTGGTAGAAGAAGTATTCACTATGTCGACAGAGCAACAAACGACCGACCGTACGACCATTGCGTCATCCCACACTTCCAAGACCCCACGAGCGACTAAGTCTGGAGAGAAAGCGACCGGAGCCGCTGGGACCGAACCGTCGAGGAGGTCAGAGCGCAATATCAAAAAGTAGAATGCCCCGCTACTTCCTTCGTCAAGCAAAGAGAGACTGATCGAGCAAAGCGTAACTGTATCGAAGCAAACAACTTTAGTGAGCAATCGATCAACGAAGATCGCAAGCCAGAACACTAGCAAGCAGACATTTCTAGTAAAATCTCCCACCGATGTCATCCAGCGCTTTGCTAATATCGTTTTCAAGATGGCCGAACCACCGCATGTACCCCTTCTGTTGAAGTTGCGACTTAGTTCGGACAAGCTACGTCAGGAACAGCTCCGCAACGACGCCGTTGCAAAGTCAAAGGTACATTATGACTGTAGATGACTCTGGTGAAATAGATACTGACTTCGTAATGCTACTTTCAAAGCTACCCGAAGCCGACGCGGACAACGCAACTAGCGCTACTGAACAAGTCATTGCTGGCGAAGCACCTGACGCCAATGCACAAGAGACTAGGCGTGTGACGCGCGGTATGCGAGCTCTTGGCAGTACACACATGGTCGTTACACAGATGGACGGTACACAGATGGGCGGGATGCAGGAGGGCGGTAATCAGATGGGCACCATGCCGGTACCGATGGATAGTGCTTTGGATCCTCCAGGCCTGATCCCGCGCTCGCACTTCACCGACCCAGAAGAACGCCTTCAGTACGTGTGGAATACCCGTCACTTGCAACCAGCGCGCATGAAGACAACTCCCCCAGCTGTTCTCGCTAGACGCCGACGCGAGGACGCTGCGTTCGAAGCCGCTACGCAGAAGAGGCTCAAGGAGGAACGTGAGGCGCGCGAAGCCAATGAGGAGGAGTTTCGTCGCAGGCGGGAAGAATTCATCGTGAAGGACAAGAAGGCGCGGAGGTGGGCTAAGGCCATCGAAGACGATATGGAGTTCTGGTACAAATCGCCTCTTGCCCGTAATATCAGGAACGGAGCTGATCCTAACTCTGAAGAGCTGGAGCAGCGTCGCAAGCTCAAGCAAGACGGTATGATGAGGGGCATGAATCCTTTCCCGGGCGTAAAGGGAGATATGATGTCTTCCGAGGCTAAGGAGAAGGAGATCGGAGAGATGCAGGAGTTCCTGGCACTTCAGGCAGCCAAGGGAGAAACTTACTTCCCCCTCGCTAGGACAAACTAGGAGGTATGGCTCTAGATAGCTGCCAGTAAGCCTTGAACTGAAGTAGCTGCTAATGGATGATATGGGGATGGGAAGTATTGCTCTCTCGCCGCTTCGTCGCGGAAACTGGTAGGGACAATCTTCTAGCCATGCAATACAACATTTACCCATTGTTCTTTTACACGATACATCATCTTTTATGAATTGAGTGTAACATGCCAGGACACGTAGTGACAGAGACAAATGTGTGAAGCGAGCCAGCATCTCTTGGTATAAGACTTTGGTAGCAATTAGAATGACCATTTCGTGTGCTGTAGCAGATGTGCACCGTGAAGGGTCGTGTGTTGACATCCGTGTCAAGAATTGCGACTCCCGTCAGCAATATGATGGCCGTCGGATCGGGGCAGTATGCCGTAGCTAATGTACAATATCATGAAAGCCAGAATCCGATCGAATTACTTCGCAATTGCCATCGACCTAAGTAGTTCATAGTGAAAACACAATCTTGGCGATTCCCTTGTGACTTCACAGTCGGTGCAATGAGCGGTCCGCTCCACATATAACTCGACTTCACTCACGACTCTTGTCCGGTACCACTACACATTGACAACACCACGATCAGATAAGACCCAACCCGCACCTACAGTAACAAGTCGAATTGAGTCAGACAACCTTCGGCCTTCGTTCAAGATGGCGGATAGATACAGTACATTTATCGTTAACGGGAACGGTAAAAACCCAGGGTTTCGACCGATCTTGGAAGGGCAATTCGGATGCACAAACATCCACGACCTCAAGAAGCAAGATTTCATAGAGATAGCAGTGGCATTTGATACGGCGAATGCTCCCCTATCCTTGGACGATCCAGATATCGGGACTAAGGCGAGCCAAGCACAGAAGGAGGCGCTGCGCGCAGATGTCGACGCAAGACGGAGGACGAGGCAGGGAGAAGCAAAGGCGAAAGGCGGCAAGCGCACGACGTCAGGGAAGAAGAAGGCGACAGGTCAGGGCGCACGAGCACAGAAAACAGGAACGACGTCGGCGCAGTCCAAGAAGGACAAGACCAATGCACAGAAGGATGAGGCCAGTCCAAGCGACGACGAAATAGCAGAACAGGACGATGACGGAGATTTACGGATGGCAGAAGACCAAGATGGCGGGGATGCGACAACAGTAGTCGATCCAACCGCAGACGCAGTCTCAGGCCTCCACAGCAAGCGCAAGCGTCGTCCAACAGGAGCTCCTGTCGCAAACAAGCGGATACGTTCTACGAGGTCGAAGCCTGCAGGGGAGGGGAAGCATTCGCAAGAGCCAGAAGAAGACAAACAGGCTGCGGCGGTTTCCACCCGGACTACACGAGCGACGAAGCAAGCACGCGGGCAGATAAAGACACGCGTAATCCAAGAGACACCTCCTCTCGACTCCAAAACATTGATGGAAAGCCACAAGAACGTTTCGGACGGTGCATCCGCTGGACCTCAAGATATGCTGTCCGCAGTCTCCGTTGGAAGCAACAACAAGACCACACTTCGACGCGAACCTCCTCAGAAAGATAAGGAAGAGGCGACTAGGCCATCTGGAAGCGAGGATTCCGCGGGTGACCAGGCCTCCAATGAAAGTGAAGAATCCACTGGTGACGAGGTCGAACTCGACAAATATTTGTCTGAGGAGGACATCGAAGACATCGAAGACATCGACGCATATAGAATACGAACGATGCCAAATTATTACTACGATAATTCCAACTCACCATACGATGAGGAAGAGGCGCACAACAGAGTATGCGCGAAGACTGGCAACATGGGTTCCAGTCGCGACCCCAAGTGGAAACCTAAAATCGAGGGTACGCACAAAGTAGATGGTTATATGAACATTAAACCATTATGGCTGGAGAAAACCTACGATCGTAGCCTGATGGATCCTCGAGAGCAGGAGGTCCATGACGCGCAGAAAGAAGAGTGGGAACGGCAGGATGCGATAAATGCTGGACTTCCGCCTCCAACAAAGCCAGTAAAACCTAAGAAGGAGAAGAAGAGAATCTATATTGATAGGTTGTTGGAGAATGGCTGGTAGAGAGACTCGCTGCAAGTTTTCTTGGCCTACTCTTTGGAAGTGTGTGACCACAGGTCTTGGACTGAAGTAACTATCTCTTTGTTGGATGAAAGTTCTTTCCGGACAGCTGTACTCGGCGGTGATATCTTTGGTTCATTGTAATGCACCGAGTCCGCCGGATATAGTTGATGGCTCTTTGTTCGTAGCGATATTTCCGGCCGACCGTCCAGAACAATAGCGAATGCCTGTGCCTGCTAATGATCATTTTCCAGTCTCTGAACACCTCATCCTTCTGGATTCAATCCTCGCATAGGCTTCCAATACTCACAAGTATTTTCAGCTGTATACGTAATCTAATAGAGCGAAAATGGCTAAGAAGAAGCCAAGCGGCAATACTGGATCTAACAAAGATGGCAATGATGCAAAGCCAGGGAAGAAAATTGGAAATACTGGTAAGGCAGAAGCTGAGCACGAGCGTATCTCTCAATTTGTCCTGGTGACCAGAAAGCGGCGCGATACATGGGATGTACTGAGAAAGAGATTGGAGTCACACCAAGCTGCGCAAAAGAAAGAAACCAACATCGAGCAAGACCACTATAACTACTACACTTTGGAGGCAGATCATGCGGCAAAGGTTCAAGTGTATAAGGATGCGCTTAGTCAGGACAAGAGTGGGAAGAAAGAACCGACGAAATCAGCCAAGAAAGCTAGGGATTTAGCAGAGAAAGCTTATAAGAAGGCTAGAAGAAACAACAGGTTTGATAGGGTGAAACGTCGTGCAGAGCATGACTCGATGATGACAGCTCAAGCAGAGCTCGAAGATTGGCTCTACTATCAGGACATCTCCAAGCGGCGGAGAAGGCTACGGCTACTAGATCCTGAGCAAAGGAAGGTGGCCGAAAAGGAGAAATTTGATAGGCGTATTGGATATAAGCTTGAAACATCAGGCAACGACGAAGGCCACTTTGACTGGGTACATTCCTTGCTTGAGATGTACGACTCGAGAGACATAGGTGGCAAAGACTACAAGCAAGGTCGACACGACCATCTTGGAAATAATGTCGAGGGGAGGCAAGAAGGAATTACCTTGCCTGTCGTAGGACCGGGTGAGCTTCACCTTTGGACACCGAATTACAGGCGTCAGCTTGTTGGCCTGCGTCCTTCGAGACTAAGCGACGATCTAAGCGACGACGACGACAGCAACGACAACGACAGCAACGACAACGACGACGACGATGATGCCCGGCAGGATGTCGAACCGCATCACTTCGAGCTGGACAAGGCCGCGATAGAGGAAAAGCGGGCAGCGATTGAGAAGCAGTTCGATACCGAAACGCAGGAGTTGGAGTTCAATACGCATGAAGCAAGGCGTCGCCATGAGGTCGCAAGATATAAAGACAACAGGCCTAATACATCAGGTGACCGAGTGATCAATACTTCAAACGGAGTCGTAGTCGAGAACAGGTGGGGACAGATACGAACAGAGCAGGGTCTGTTCATCTCTGCCAAAGAGAGCTCCTGGGATTGGCGTACCTCATATGACTGCCTCGGGCCAGTAATGTCGGGCTGGTTCCCCGAAACCAGCGCAATCAGGGATGAGGCTCCAGAAGAGTTGATTGATCCGGATGACGACCTTGATTATATAGTTGATGATGGTGATGATGGTGATGATAGCGAAAGCAGCGCAGCACAAATACCTGCAAAACACGTAAGAGAGAAAGTTCCGAATGCAGGTGACGAGACAGCGAAGCAACATGGGACCATTTCGGAGCCACTTGCAGAAGCGCCAAATGGTGGAGAGCCCGCGAATGACAAAGCTGACTCTGCACAGCCAACAGACGAAAGCTGGAAGAAGATCAAAGCGAAGATTGATTACCCTTACCCTGCCAGAGAGTTCCATACAGGGAAGAAACCTTCCAGACTGATCATTCGTAAGTGGTTCACCACAGAGTGGGCGGAAGAAACAACTGGTCGTCGCGAACGGCACTCATACCACTTGCGACTACACTCGTCACCTGTCCATTCGCCACCACGATCCCCAGTAGATGAAAAGATTCCATCTGCATCCATACCTAAGGGCTTTGCTGAGACAGAGAACCGACCTATTGCTTTGGAGCCAAGATCTCGTAGGGAGTGTCCCTCCAACCCTGAGAGATGCCGAGCATTCTGGACTCATTCTTCGAATGAGTGTTGGATTCCATATCCTGAGCAACCGAAACGCCCAAAAGACCCTATCGAGTGGCCAATACAGGAGATGGACGCTCCCAAAGGTATAGATGAAGGCGGTCCGGATGGCTATGTGCCGGCGATTGGGATGTCTGTGTACAGCTCCAGGCTATATGACCACTATGGACTATTATATCCGAACACATCGCTAGACAAAGACTGGCAGCGGCCGCAATGGCCCAGAATCGGTGTTCGAGTGCCTTATGAGCCGATGACGATTGAAGATCTTCGTTTGCAGGGGGGCGATCGAGACAAAACGAACATTGATCTGACATCCAGCCATACGAGAGAAGCTCGACCTGGAAAGGGTGCGAGGGACGAACACATGGGTACCGAAGTTTACAACGAGCTCAGCGACGCGCCGACTTCAATGGTGGTCGCAGGAAACAAACGCAGAGAGCTAGGGACGATCCTAGCGAAGGATGCTGATCGGAGAGCTTTCTACGAAGTCCGATCAATGGCGGTACCGATTATCAAAACGCCACAGCTGCCGTGGGCTTCATCAAACGATGGCCTTGCCATTGAGCGTGTTTCTCGCGAAGACAATGCTGACGACGATGGTGGCGAATCCGACAATGAGGGAGATCTCTTCTTCAGATCATACGAGGACGAGTGCTTCCCAAACGGTCGCAACGCACCTAGCGTATCGCCAGTAACGGGCGAAGAGAGTGAAGACCTGGAAACAGCTGTAGAAGATGTAATCCCAGCAAATGTTGCTCCAGCGGTTGTGGTATCTGGAGAGGACAACAGAGCAGGTGAAGCACAAGATCTGTAACCCCAGATCCAGGCACCGTTTCACATGTTGGTACGTGCATTCTGAGCAGTCGTTCGTTATAGAGTTTTGACAGCCTCAGATGTCATGTACTGCGACATACAGGTTGCAGGCGGAGAAGAAATGGTGCCCAGCTCGCTTTCGATTGGTGGGACGTATCGCGCGCGACGCGTGAACGTCACGACGGGACAGGTGGCGTAGTTATACTAAGTGAGAACATGTTCCAAATGTATTTGTATCGAGAAATGAAATCAATGCCCAAGATCTTTCCAGAGTTGCGACATGAGGTCATGGTCGACGTCGCGTTGGGAGGCATGGATGGACGGATGAGGTTTGCGGGTAACGTGTGATGAACGCAACTTTGTGCTTAGCAATCGATAACGTCATAGGTCCAGCTGATTGCCTGAGTGATACAAATCCTCACACATCGTATCTCTCTTCCAACGATGACCAAAGAATGTTCAGCTTTGGATGTCGCAATGAATAAAGAGTGATGGAACATCGTCATACAGGCCTAGGGATACATGATGTTGGACCTGCTAACCTACACTGCTGAATTCGAGAAGAGCAAATTTTAGAAAGATTGGTATCATCAAAAGACGTTGGCAAGTACAGTGTGTGTTGTGCGCACCACGACTGCCAGGTAGCCGGCCTTACGCTCGCCGTCTAAAAGATTACAATCCGTTGAACATCAGGTACCATCACGACGGTCTAGTTGCATCGAATGTACGACCATATATCGCCTTATCACACCCACATACCCTTCTGCGACCTCCTCTCTTCACCTCCCCCATACTCCGGATCCTCCCCTAAGTACTCCATTCTGTTCTGTCGGAAATGCCTGCCACCACTACCCTGCTCGAGATCCCAAACCTTTTCAATCTCTCTCCAGACGTCTCCGGCCCTTCGACCTATTCTAGGCGTCAAGTGCCTAGCTTCTGCCACAGTAGGAGGTGCCCTCGAATCTGAAGTCCGCCTGCTATCTAGCCAGTATAGATATGCATGCCGCGCGGACACCAGCTCGCCAAAGCTCCAAGCCTTTGCATTCCGCAGCCTTTGACCTGGCTGGATGTGGATCTGATATGTCTCATCGATGCGAGGATTGGGCTGAAGACAGATCATAGCGTATGGTGGTTGACGGAGACCCAGGAGAGTAATGATGCGTGGATCGTGAATGATGAGCTGGTCGACCGGGCCCTTATCCAAAGTCGCCGTGACTTGGATGATACGTTCGTTGCGGTCGTGATGTATTTGCATGTCAAGAATGCTGGTGGAAGGGTAGTACTCGGCCTGAACCTCTTGTATTTTCGTCAAAGGAAAAGCTTCGGGGTTCAGGATCGATACCACCATGCAAAGGCCATCTATGTGCTTGTCGCATGGAACACCCACAGGCATGACTGGTGACGCATGCGCTTCAGGCGGCGAGGGTGGTGGTACGATCCGAGTGTCAACATCGGGTATTGCAAAAACTTGTTGTGTTGCTGAGAGAAGATCTTCCATCTCGAGATGTGGATCTTGGACAACCTCGAGTCCGACTTCTTCCTGCATTGCGCCGTCTGCAGCGGTTTCCTCTCCCCCAAGCTCTTCCTGCGCACTGTGATAATCTGACTCATTCTCACTCTCTTTAACCTCATCGTTTCCGCCTTCCAGCTCCTCGATCAAAGGTAGTTTGAATGTCGACCGCTCTTCCACCTGGTCATGTGCAGTCGCAAACTCGTTATACACCCTGATTGCTTCATTGTCGCCTAGATTCTGGAGCAGGTCATTGATTTTCTGCTTCCGCATACCAAGCAGACGTTGTTTCTGACCACCCAGTGTGAGGATCAAGCGCATAGTGTTGATGAGATCTGTCGCTACCGCTTGCGGCATGATAGCTAACAATCGAGGTTCGAAGATGGTAAGGTCATGCGACGTTGTGATTACCCTCCTTCTCGAAGATGCCCTCGACTTATGCATAGATGCTGCATATGTTTTAGGCGCTGTCATGTTGAACGGCGGGGTAGGTTCGGGTGTTAGGAACTGTTGTGAATTTGGGGTATCGCTCTGCATGTTCGCTAACTGTCATGCGTACTGGTGTGAGCAGGCTGGAAATTGGTGTTGCTGGGGCGAAAGAAGTCAAGATTAGAACATGGTGATAGTCGCGAAGCGGGCGTTTGCTTGCAAGATTGTTCTGTTTTGTTTCATGTTCGTTTGCGCACTCACCAGTCACCTTGGAAAACGATGAGGAATGACGAAAATCTAGTCCGGAGCAGCTGCAGGCAATCTTCACTACCAACCGATATATGCTCTCACGTTCGAGACATATATGACTCTTTCCTGGACCTTGATAGTGCGACTTAGTGGTTCTACAAGACCAGTCCCGCCGCCGTGTACTATACAACTTTCAACGCCTACGAGATGTCGTACGTGTGCCTGATACCCTGCTGAATTGCATCATCTCCGGAACCGTCTCCTGTCTGTTGCTCCAAGTCCTTCAATCTAATCTTCCAGCTCAACCTCCTTCTCCTTGCGAACAGTATGCGACCACCACATGTTCCCATACTTGACAATAGCAGCGTTGATCTCGCTGATCATATTGTACCGCCGCAAAGCATCCTCTTCTATTGCTGGATTATACGGCTCCGATAGAGAAACGCCTATAATATTCTTGAGCTCTTGCTTCACGATGGCAAGAGTCTCAATGTCTCCACCAAGTGCCTTTTGAGCCGCAGCGAGCTCTTCGCGTGCCTCGTAGACGACTGCTGTAAGCCCATCGATTACCTCACGCGGCTCCTGCTTTGCGTGGGCGGCAAATATACGCATGGTAGCCATTCGCTCCTTCAGCTGTATACCATACACCGCATTGCGGCCTGCTTGAAGCTTAACTCTGGCATGTTCGAACGTGTAACTTTCGGGTGCGGTTTGCTCATCAGTTACCGCGGAGACGAACAGGGCGCGAATCTTGTTGGTAGACTGTGGTTGTCGCTTCTGTGATTGCTCGAGAGCTTGGAGTAGTATCATCTTGCGTAAGTCGTCAAAAGGCATATTGAAAAAATGGACACCAGTCGCTGCCACTCCGTGGGCTGGGCGCCAGGTGAGAGGGTCCGGTGTCTGAGGTTCTTCGCTGTTGTCTGCGGTCGTCGGCCTTACGGCCTCCGTTGAGTCACTCTCTTCACCTCGCATGGAGACTGGCGACGTATGGTAGCTTGTTATGCGTTGCGCTTCTGATGCCATCGGGTTTAGTGCTGTGGCGTGGTCTAGAATGACATGTTTCTTCATAAGAATGCCTGGCTCGACGCTCGAACCATTGTTGCGTGCACAAGTCTCGTCTGGGCTCATCTTCTCTAGAATATCGTTCCTTCCCGAGCTCCTAGAATCTTCTGGGATGGAGCTGTCCAAAGCGTTGTCTCCTAGCATATCAGCCTCTCCGTGCACATCCTGTTCCTCTAATCTATCGTCTATGTCGCTACGAGAACGTTTACCAAGTACAGAGCCTTCGATGATCTTGTCATGAGGACCAAATGCGGGTGCGCTTGGTGTATCATCAATAGATGCATCACTAGCTAAGCTGGCGCCTGAGGCAAAATGAGGTTTGCTCGTTACTTTTGTCCCGTCGAGACTCTTAGTCACTTCCGTAGCTGGAAGATCCTCGTGCGTAGCAACTTTCTTGTGTTGAGAGCGTCTTGGATTTTCTCTTGCCATTACAAATAAACACGGGTAATCGTAGACCTTGGGAGCTTTCCGTATCTTGGATTGAGGTCCGTTTCTATGGGATTTAACCGGATATGGATCATTGTTGTTGGGATCATGCTTCCTGACTGTTTGCTTGGATCTTCTGTCACACGAGCTAGTCATCGGTATAACCATCTCACGGCTTATCTCTACTACCTTTCCATCTGCTGCTGCAGGTTGGAAAGTAGAACTGTGAGGCTTCTTGGTTACAAAAGAAGGGACTGCTATGGGCGGTAGTGGCAGGGGTCGGAGAACTCCTCTGCTATCTGATTCTTTCTTGTCAGATCTTGGAAGCGTCATTGTTCCGGGTATGAGAGTCCAAGACATCTGAGGTTCACATAGGCGAGCGGGTGACTTAGAGCTGATTTTACATAGCTTGGGAGCTCTACGCACCCCATTCAGAAGATCAAGAGAACGTCATTAGAAGAGCGTAGAAACAATCAAGTTAGCAAGGCAACCATTGTCCATGGTAGTCAGTGCACATTGTGGCGCAATAGTCAAAACGTATGCGGTCCATTTCTCGCACAGCCGACGAGAGCCGGAAAACCTCTCGCTCATACACCGCTCATGCGATTAGTATCGACGACATTCGTCGAACGATCGTGTCAGAAAATAAATAACTTGTTTGGTCGCAATCAGAAACCTTGTCCGACTTTCAAGTCCTTATCCCAAATCGTCCTTAGTCTGGTAAGCACCATCTAATGCAGTACCTCGCCGATGAGAAAAACCGCCTCTTTGTTGCTAAAGTTTACAACATCTCCCATAATCTCCTTGGCTTCCGGCCCAGAAAAGGCATTCTTCATCTCCTCGTGATTCCCCCACACGACCATAGACCCAAAAGCGTAGACTGGGGGTGGGCCGTCGACTCCATCCGAGAACTTGGTTGCCGACCAGCTTTTGACGCCATATTTTCCCCAACGAGTCTGGATCAGTGGCATGTGCTTGTTGACGTAGTAATCGATGTCGTATTTGGCGTCCGGCGTATTCGGAAAAAGAACGGTGACTGTGATGGCCATTGTGGTTGCAGTGCAGCTTAACAAGAGTGGTGCAAAGATTTGGAGGTTGAATATATCTTTGGAGGCGGAGACGATGATGAGGAAGACGTAGGATAGATGATGTCCTTGTCAGTTGCGACACATTGACATGAGCCTTTTGTATTCCGGTCCAAGCAGAGTCGACCCTTTTTCGCTGTATCCCCAGATAGATTATCACATAAGCTTCCAGCTTGCAGAGATGTCAACAATCAATCTGGATTGATTGGCTTGATTGATTCGAATCAATCTGCTCATTCAATCAAGCCAATCTCGAGATTTTTTTGCATCAATCAAGCCAATCTGAAGATTTTTGTAGATCTTTTACTTAGTTAGGCTAGCTAATTACCTATTTAGGAAGGTAGCTTCTATCAATCCTATCAATTCAATCTACTTATTTTGAAAGAGCTATCAATTCAATTCAATCTGGGGTGCTCAGATTGATTGGCTTGATTGTTGACAAGTCTGCCAGCTTGCGAAACGGATATGACCTTAGACGGGTGACGAACCCGGTCATGACAATGTCTACACAAGGGGAAAGGCGATGACCTCCACATATGCACACTGCTGACATCGGAGTCCAAACAATGCGATAATCTCGATAATCTCTGCGTAAGACCGAATCGCGCTCGTGTTGGTAGAAGTGATCCGAAAATCATCGGCCTCACACAACATTAAGTTTCTATACTCGAAACACCTTCGGAATATATCAGTCGACTTGCGGCCATTCATTCATGATGAAGGACAACAAGCTACCTCTGGATAGTTCATCAGCTCAAAATGTCAAATCGTTCCAAACTTCTCGTCGTTCTCACGTCTCAGGATATTCTTCCCACGCGGGAAGGTGTCAAGACAGGGTGGTACCTCCCTGAATTGGTGCATCCTTACAATGTCCTCAATCCATATGTGGACATGGTCTTCGCCTCCCCGAAAGGTGGTGAGGCTCCAATCGACCCCTACTCGATCGAAGACTCCAAGAACGACGAAGAATGCCAACGGTTTCTGAGGGATGAAGAAGCATTGTGGAAAGAGACCAAGTCACTTGATGCCATAATCGACAGGGCTGATGAGTTCCTCGGTGCTTTCTTTGTTGGCGGTCACGTCTGTAAGTCTTCGCCTAATGGCCATCAGCTTTCTGAGCAGCTAATGATCTTGTTAAAGCCATGTTCGACCTCGCAAATGACAGCATCTCCCATTCACTGACCCGAAGGTTCTACGAGTCTGGCAAGATTGTGTCCGCCGTTTGTCATGGTCCAGCCGCTCTCGTCAACGTGAAGCTCTCGGACGGATCGTGTATGATCCAGGGCCAAACCGTTACGGGATTCTCGAACGCCAAGGAAGACGCCTACAACTTTACAAGTGTGATGCCATTCTTGTTGGAAGATGCGCTGAAGAATCACGGTGGCAAGTACGAAAAGGCAGGGCAGCTCTTTGGACTGAAGGTCGTTGTCAGCGGAAAGCAGGGGAACTTGGTTACCGGTCAGAATCCTTCGAGTGCCGCTGTAATTGGCAAGACCCTGCTGGAGCTCATCCAGAAACTGTAAGGATCATTGTGGGTTCCTCGACATCCCGAGAAAGCGCGATATCGTCGTTGCTCGGTCCCGCTCGGTCTCGGTGTACAAGCAATCTTTTGGGTGGCAGTGTGTGGATGGTACATCTAGCGGTCATATAGACAGACAGTACAATGTGAATGGGTGGGAGGAGACGTGTATACACCAATATTACTACGCACATTGGTGCAAGAGATGACGTCATCATCAGCGCGAGTAGCGTTAACGCGTCGATCGCCAAACTTCACGACAGCCAGAGGTGACCACAGCTATGTCTTTGCAAGCACTTGTTCTCCGGAATTACGCCTCATTTTCTATGTTGTGGTTTGCTTCTAGTCTGTCCCTAGGCGCGAACCGAGCGCTTGTTCATTACGATTCTTTCGCGCCTAGTTTACGGTGACTCATCATAGACTCGATCGCGTCGCTCAACGAGCTACAACCTGCCCTCCAGTTAGTGGAGCATAGTCGAACCAGATGCTTTCATAATTCGCCCACCAAATCGTCTCCGTTGCAAAGTCGCGAGCGACGCCTAAGTCCGACGCGCCTTCTTTCTCTCGAACATTTGCTTCCTCTCAGTCGCATCCATCTCACCAGTACCGACCGGCTTGTACATGGGCATAGCGGTTTTGATGCCAGACTCCATCCAACGTGCCCACAGGTTGTGCTGGTCCACAATACCATGAGCACGCACAAATGTCTCGAGGTCATGGACAACGGCTTGCTTGGCAATGTCGTCACCTTCAGCGGCTCGGCGACGCGTCCAGACGAGATCCATGTACTCTTCGCGCTGAGCGTCTGTCGTCAATATCTGGCCCATCCCGGCCATAAGAGGACGTAGGTGGCCTCCCGCGGTACCAGTTGTGATTATGGTGGTCGGCCAGATCATCACTGTTGGGTTGCGAGGCTTCACATTGCGCGGCGCAGCAGACGATATGGGCTTCGTAGGCCTCTTCCTCATTGCCTTCTTGGATGATGTAGGGGCCCTGTGGGTACCTGGACGCTTCATCTTTACCTTGGTAGACTGGTCAAAATCTTCGTCATTTTCGTCATCGTACTCGGCCTGATCATAATCCTTGAAGTCTTGCTCGCTATGGTGTTCGGTCGAGGAATTCTCTCCTAGTATCGGAGCCACTGCAGCGTTACTAAAACGCTTGTCGTCCTCTGGCCGCGGGATGGCGCCTCCGCCAATTTGCACAGAAGATTTTAGGGTCTTCGGGGTACGTGAAGGATCTGCTGTTTGCTGTGTGTATACTCGTCGTCGCCTTCCATTCAGACCATTTCCTGGTCGTACTACTGGGATTTCGGCGCGATTAGCTATATGAACATTAGTATACGATAGGCAAGTCGGGCGATGTCAGATGCGGTACACAAAAGCTTGATTTAAAGCAAAGGCAATCACTAACCACAGCTAGCTTGACCAGCAACATCCTTTGCCCGCTTCCACACGAGACGACAAGTTTTCCAAGCATTCTGTAGCATCTCGAAGTCCTCTTCGGTATCTTCTTCTCCTTCGTTATCAGGCATGGGACCCGCATCTTCTAACGCGAAGACAAGTACGGGTACATTGAGAGCATCCAAATCGATGACTACAGCGTTTCTCTTCACTAGAAACATGCGGAGAAGGCTAGCGTCTTCGATGAGGATGGTGTGAGTGTCGAGGTTGCCTGTGCATGACATTTCGACTTTGAGGACCTGGAGGATGACGTTTTCAAACGGTGTGTCGGAGGCTGCCATGAAGACGGTAGCGGTCATACTATGGATCTGAATAGGACCATGTCCCTGTATGTTTTCTTGTGGAAAGCGACCGTTCACAGGAACCTCTGCTGTTGACATGATTTCGGATATTGATGAGCTGAGTAAGAGAACTGGTGGTTGGAGGGTCGAAGTGGAACGAATATGGCACTTGGTGTTCGTATATCACAGGGCAAGGTTTCATGATATATGGTGGGGCGCTGGCGGGATTGTCGTCGCGCCATCACGTGCAAAGGATGTTTTAGTCATTCATTGAGCCCCGTGCACACCCATCTGGATTGCGAAACACATCACGAGTAACTTTGAGGCCTACTCTAACCTTCGGGATGCTTTAGTGCTTGCATTCCGTATGCCCGTATGTGCACTACCGCCGTGGGTGTGGGCTGCGCCAACTTATGCTGTGGGCGACACAAGAACTGCCTGACAAGAGAAGCCGTACGAAGCGAGTCACCTAGCGAACTATTGCGTCCCAATCAAGCATTGAGAAGATATCACGAGCCATGACCTATCTATCAAAACATTGTCATTGACTAATGGGACATGTAGATTCACATTGCTGATCAAAACGACGCTCTACATATTTCCGGCTGATCTCCAACGGATAATTCGTCCAGCCATCATCTAGACATTGTTCCTCGACATGGAGATTATTATACCTCCTCTATAGGCTGGAGAAAACAACACTGCTAATCCCTTAATCTTCTTCCAACTACCCACAACAATTCGACAAAACGGAGCGACACTGTATCCTCGAATCGTCGAGCTACATCAACGTAGCCATGCCTTCACAACAGCCTACGGTCCTCCGTCCAAGCTGGCAAACAATCCCATCAATTTTCTCCACCATCCAGTCATATATCCCAGCAGTAGAGTGGTTCTACTACTTGACCTATATCTCGCACATAATATGCAAATCCGAATCAACCCATATCGCTAAAGTCAACCTCATATGCTTACTGCACGCTCGTCCGACAATCCAGATGTGGCACGAAGCACTACTCTCTGAGATGTATGATGATGGCGAACCCAACCTGCCATCAATGCTGGAGGGTACAAATTTCTTGAGACCGTCGGTACAAAGATTCTATGGACATACTACGCAGAGGTTTAAGCTCATGACAAGGGCGGATGTCTTCGTCGCGCGGTGCGTGGTTGTAGATTTCATCTACAGAAACTTAGACGATGCACAAGGAGCTGCTGAAACGGCCGAAGAGGCGAAACGAAGAAATGTGTTACAAGAACAGGGAAAATTAGTACAACAACAGCAAAAGGCCCGAGAAAACTCACTAGCTGTGCATCTTCGCTTCGGAAGCCCGAGAAAGGATGCGCCGCCTGTCGGTCAGATCGGGGTGAATGATCTCGCTGCCCTCTTAGCTGCAATCTCGTTGTAATTACCTCCTGGGCTACCCGTTCCGGTCGAGCCTGTACCCTTCAGTTTGCCACTACCTAAGCAGAAAGCCTCGTGGGTGAGAGGTCTTGCCCGCAGTTTGTCCCAGCTAATATCATAGCCTATGACACCTGTAACACCTCTGCAATGTACTTACACGTGCCATAAGCTCCAAGACAAGTTTGTATAGATTCGTCACCTTGGTCGCTACTACACGCTCTTCCCCTTGTTTTAGGTTTTGACTTTGCTTGGGGGCAAACATCTGAAGCACACCCTCTTATGACCACTTACTAATA